CGCCCGTGTGCATTGTTATGTACATTTGAAAAAATCCCGTGGCAGTTGGAAATCCAAAAGAGTAGCCTAACAGCGCTGCCGGGGCAAAATTTTGAGTTAAAAATCTACCCAAAGTATTTTAGGATCCTCGCCAGCGCTACAGAGCTTGTGCACTGTGCTGAGCTTCTTTGGACTCAGACTTGAGTTAGAAGAAGAACAAATCACTTATGGCTTACTGCTCGTGTGCCATGATGTTGGTCCATTAAAACAAGAGAAAAACATGACGTTTCTTGGGGTGAGGTTCGATCGCAGCTTGTCATTCAGGGAACACGTTGACCATGTGATAACAAAAGCACGCAAAGGTCTATCTGCAATGAGGATTATGGCTGCTTCCAATATTGAGCAAAGACTACTAATACTTCTATTCTACGGTCTGGTCCTTTCCCCCATTGAATACGCTCTGGCCATCCTCACTGTCAGTGCTACCCAGATTGAACGACTCGAAAAGGTGCAAAATGAAGCCATGCGCATTATTTTGGGATGTACTAGAGACACATCCTGTGGAGCAATGAGGTATCTACTTGACTTTCCAACAATGAACCAAAGGATCAGGATGTGGAGGGCTCGGGCATATCTCAAAATATGCGCTGATAAGAAACACCCACTGCATCAAGCGCTTTTTAGTGAAAGGGGCGACAGACTGAAGAGGGGGAAATCGTGGCTAGGTCGGGCAGAAGATGTTATTAGGCAAATATGCAGCCTAACCGACATCATACCTGGTGCAGAATGGATACCTGTGCCTCAGGCGTTTATTTGTACATTTTCCTGTATTGTCACACTCAACAGGCGATGTAGAGAAGAGAATCCTGTTGCTGTTAATGCAGAGGTCAACGCTCTTATCGGTGAAAATTCAGACGAAGCAGATGCAATAATCTATACAGACGGATCCGTTATACGCCAAAGAAGAAGCGCATGGGCATTTACAGCACGCTCAGCGGGCAGAACAGTCAAAGAAGCCAACAGCGCCTTCTCCATGACAACCAGCAGCATGACGATGGAGGTGATGGCAGTGACACAAGCGCTTGCCTGGCTTGAATCACAAAAATACACCCGCGTGTGTATACTCAGTGATTCAATGAGTATGATCCGGAGGGTTCAGGCAGGTTCAGTGCGAAGACAATGGCTTGAATCATTACAGAAGTCCACTGTTCGTGGAGTCACCTTTATTTTTGTTCCGGGACACGCAGGCGTCGATGGAAATGAAAGAGCTGACAGGTTGGCTGGATCCGCTATTACTACCGACGGTCAGCCTATGGATCATGCTGATATTATCAATGCCCTCAGAGAAATGGGAAGGATAGAGGACTTTGGTGGCAGTGAATCCACATCACTCGCCAGAATGGCAGACTTGGGAATTAAGATCGGCACAGCAAAAAACGAGACGCACACCAGCTACGCCAGAAGACTTGTTAATCAACATAGAACTGGTACTATTAGCCATCGGACGTTGGGGTTCATACTGAGGGGAGGATCTGAGCACCTATGGACATGTCCGGAGTGCAATGAGGATAACCCAGCTAACTAACTAACTAACTAACTAAGAGAAAAACAGGAGAATTCTGAATCCAGTTATTATTATGCTAAATGGCAAATAGATTATATACTTGAAAAATTATACAATGTATACACTAAAGAGAATTTGTATACATGGCCAAAGGGGCCCTCAGTCGGACAAATGCCTTTTTTTAAAAATATAAATTATCTGGAAGCATTCTCATTAGACTGAAAGACAACAAGCAATCTATACAACAATCATAATTTATTGAAGGAATTTGAACACAAGGTGGCTATCCAGAAACGTATTTAATTTATTCGCTTTTCAGGGTCTATCCCATTTAATATTCATATATGTCATTAGGAAACACGTCTAATAAGTCACCATTTACAAGCTACTGGAGGTGGGGGAGGGGGGGGGGGGGAGGGGGGGGGGTCGTGGGTTTAGGGACATTTTCGTTTTCAGACATGACCTTAGCTCCCAGCCCTGAGTGGGTACCAGGTGTAGTCCTGGGAAGTAAAGGCGACCAGCGTGATGCTGGCCACGTCACCCACCAAGTGCCGACTGGTCTATAAAACGCCTAGCCCTATGTGCCCAATACGCCTGGAGGCTTGGCAAAGGGCCTTTTACTTTATAACTGAGGGGTGGAATGGTGTTGGGTAGGGGATCTACCCCACCCAACGCCTCCCATCGAGGGGGGGGGGGGGGGGGGGGCGCCAAAAACTCATTCATTCAAAAAAGACAGATGAACTATCAGCAATGTCATTTGTGCATTTATATTTTGTTACAATTTACAGAAATAAAACAAACTGCACAAACCAAGAGCACACAAGAACAGACAAAAGTGATACGCAGCATCAGTGTTTGATACCCTTTGTGAGGTGCCATATTCACAATGAAGGTTGACTTTAATGGATCTCCAAAACTATGTCTCGTGCCCTGGTTGTGAACTTTCTGAAACTGCTGTTCGTTCATCGCTTGATATCATCTTCCCACTTGTATGTCTACTGCATACTCACTTGCCGATAACCCTTTCACCCTACTGGAGCGCTATAAAAAGGGGCCCCGAACCCATAGGAATCGCCTGAAATGTTCCTTTCAAAAACAATTTACAGGTGTCACGGATACATTTGTAAACAATGTATTTATGTACACTGTTTAATTTTGTTCCAAATATTTAAAGGAAGTAGTCAATAAACACAAAGATAATGAAGCATTAAATGAAATATATTTCCTAGGGCCAAAAACAAAAGACACATGTATCAAATGACTCGTCCAGTGACCTCTATCCCTGATGTATGAGGGAAAATGTTTACGTCAACTAGGCTTTAAAAAATGCTATCTGGTTCTTAGGACATCATCCCCCCCCCCCCCCCTGCGAATCTGTCTCTTATATATTCATATCTTGATCTTCTGAACATTTGATCAGGCGCAAAACCAGTCAATGGTATTTACGTATTTCGTAGCCACACCACCGCAGAAATGCATAGTTAAGGCATTCTCAGGGTACTGAAACTTGCCGGACATGCGGCTTCCCCTCAGTTTACAAAAGTCTTCTAATGTGGCCCAAATATTTCAAGTTTTTTTGTTTTTTCAAGTCTCTTTCAGCAATTCAGTTTTCAATCCCAAAACTTTTGTATTTGATTTTGTTGTTTCCTCTAAATATAACCTATTCTTTTGTATTTGATTTTGTTGTTGTTTCCTCTAAATATAACCTATTCTTTTGTATTTGATTTTGTTGTTGTTTCCTCTAAATATAACCTTTTCTTTTGTATTTGATTTTGTTGTTGTTTCCTCTAAATATAACCTATTCTTTTGTATTTGATTTTGTTGTTGTTTCCTCTAAATATAACCTATTCTTTTGTATTTGATTTTGTTGTTGTTTCCTTGAAATATAACCTATTCTTTTGTATTTGATTTTGTTGTTTTCTCGAAATATAACCCATTCTTTTGTATTTGATTTTGTTGTTGTTTCCTCAAAATATAACCTATTCTTTTGTATTTCTGCATCTCCAGAGACTTAACAACACGACTTTCTAATTGCTAGTTCCCCGTCGGGGTCTCAGAAGGGCTAAAAACGCATCTGACATTTCTAATTTTCAATATGCCCTATGTCACTGTTCAAGAAATAAATGCAGCGAACAAGTCAACACATAAACATATTCCCCTCATACTTTACTATTTATATAATGAGGGCATAAACAATATATAGCAGACTTCATTGTCCAGCATTTTTTGGGTGTTATATCTTGTCATGTGAACTGCCACATCAACATACAATAAAGCACAAAACAGTATTCCTTTTAGTTAAAACACACACACACACACATCGCACTGGATTTTGTTCCACTGTACAACTCACCAAAGAAGTCTAAAGGTTAGCCATGTGATTCATGTTTTGAGCTTCACTATCTTAGAGGCTTCAAATTCAAGCCTCAACCAACTGACTACCATGATTGAACTGTGGATGCTAGCCGTCGTGTTAAAAATTAAGATTTTTGCGACAAATGTAAAGCAGTTGGTTTGTTAATTTCTCCGTTTCTTCAAGGAAAATAATTCAGCTGTGCTTGAAATAAATTTGTCATAAAATTTCTTGGGGGATTGGGGGAGGGGGAGGGGGTGGGGGGGGGGGGGGGGGGGGGTCGACGTGTTAGTCAGATATTCTGGTAATGATGACTGGTAGCTGATCGTCAGAGCCAGCATGGTGGAACAGTTTGGGGAATACTTCTGATGCTACCGGAGATTTTCTTGATGGTTTTAACCTTGAAAGTGAAGGTGAGATATTTCAGAACAGTCTGCTGGCTGTGACTTTGATTATTATTAAGAACTGCCACACACACACACACACTCACACAAAAACATTATCAAAACCAAGGGTGACATTTAAGTTTTCAGCCGTGTCATCGGTGGATAAAGATTCAGTAAGCTGATGTCAAGTCTGTAACAGTACACTTGATGAGACACAGCAAAATATGCCAAAAAATACATTTGTTAATATCAATACACTGTGTGCTCACTATTGATGTACACAATGGGCGAAGATTACTTCAAATATTTTACTGTTCTTATATCTAAAAAATTAATGAAACATGATCGCTGTTATAGATACAACAGGAACAAAAAATTAAACTGACAGTAAGCTGAGCTAAAATATGGTAATCAGTACAAAAACACAGATAGCAGAAACACTGATTTATAAATAAGGAAAACTAGGCAAAAGATGACAACAAGAACAAAGAAAACTGCTAGCTTAACATTTCTAGCCAGGATGTTGGCAGAGCAGGATGTTGTATGGAGGTCAAAGAAAACAGATACTTTATAAAAAAAAAAAAAAAAAAAAAAAAAGTTAATAATAATAAGCTGCAGGGTAGTTTACTAAGCATTAACAGTGAGCATCATAATTTCAGTGACGTTATCACTTCCATCGGAAAGTATTACAACCACATAAATGCACTTGAGTTCTGTGTTAGGTCATTTCTAAGGAAGAGCGGTAGTAGGGCTGCGACAGTGACCGCATCTGGTCAGTCGATGGTTTTAAAGGCTTTGTGGCATCCCGCGCCTCTGGCCACCGTTTGTGATAGTGGTCAGTTTTCAGATGTTTTACTGTAACCAGTCGACCTGTTGGAAGATAAAGTACAAATCTATTAGGTACTGCAAAACCAAAGGCTGCAATAACACTGTGGCGTTTAGCTGCTGGGGCAGTCTTCTTCTTCTTTCGTCTTCTGCTCTTTGCCCCCCCCCCCCCTTAAGCACAGGTCCTCAACCATATTATGTCAAAGAACTATCCTTTGCCACTGCAGCTCACACATGTCCTCCACACCTTTTTAACGTTACTCTCTAGCTCCCTTCTCTGTGTGATTTTTTTTTGGGGTCTGCCCTTTTTTTATGCCCCTGTGGGCTCCGGTGCAAAGACATTCTAGCTATATTGTTCTCAGGCTTTTGCAAACTGTGCCCTATCCAATGCCAGCATCCACTAGCTCCTGATTCACTGGAATTTGTTTAGTTCTCTCACAAAGCTCAACATCAGTCATTCTATTATACCCTTTAACTCCCTTTATTCTGTGCAGGCATCAGTTCATGAATTTTTGCAGTTTATTAGTAAATGTTTTACTTGTTCCTCATGTTTTACTTGTTCCTCATGTTTTACTTGTTCCTCATGTTTTACTTGTTCCTCATGTTTTACTTGTTCGTCATGTTTCAGTTGCTCCTTATGTTTTCGCTTAATATAGAAATACTAAGTTGACATTATAATTAAAAATGTCAACTTCAATTGACTGCCACAATTTCCCTAGCACTAGGAAAAGTTGCCTTTTGACTCGCATATTAATATCTGTATCAGTTCCCACGTCTTAATTACTGCCCTAACAGATGTATGAGCCCACATCTTTATCTAATTACTGCCCTAACAGATGTATGAGCCCACATCTTTATCTAATTACTGTCTTAACAGATGTATGAGCCCACATCTCGGAGTGGGATATCATTGGTCCAGGTTTAATCCATTCAGCTGGTAGCAATTTTTCTGCCCAGTATAGCTCTGGGACCGGCCCTGCCTCATTAATGGGTACTCCTTGTAGGAGTTCCAAGGGCCCCGTACTGGGCAGAAAGGAACAGACTTCCCACACTCCCCCTCAACCAGCATGTCGTTAAAGGCAACCAATTAGAGGTATTTTCTTTGAAGTCGGAGTGCATTTACGGGAGAGGGGAGGAACCGTGAGGTATGTATACAATTATTCCGGATCTGTAAAACGGACGTGCATGCATAATTTAAGTTCCGGAAATAGGACTTAAGCTAGTCGTCCCCATGTGGGATGCAATCTTTCGTTATTTAAAGCCCCGCCCTGTATTTTGCCCGGGGTTCTGAAAATAGCTGGGCCATAAATGTGGCCCGACGGCTGAACAGGGACCTCTGGGACCTCTCCACGGGTGATTCTTATCCACATAGTGGCACCTTGTGTCATCAGGTGTCTATCGCTTTGTGTGATGTCCCGATGGGGTACAACTTACATACAGAACCAAAGTCCAGAACTGGTCAAACAACCAGAACTTTCCATCGCAGTTTACAACCGGGAACAAACAACAAAAAAAGGGGGAAGGAGAGATAGCCATTAATCTCCTCTAGTCTTCACAGGTACCAGTTAATGAGTGTTTGTAGTTCGTTAGTCATTTGTTTTAGTTGTTCTCTGTGTTTCTGCTCTATACAGCAGTACTCATTTGACAGGACACGTCAATATTTTAAGCTGGTACTGGTTTTAATTTCCATTTCCACCGATTTATTTGCACAAATTTCCTAGTGTTGAAAATTCCTCTTGCTTTTTTTATTCATATTTTTTTTATATCTATTAGTTCCCCTATCTTCATTACTGCCTAAATGCCCGGCTCTCTAGCGTAATTGGCTAAACCGGACTGCATGGTGACCGGGTGACGAACTCCTTGTGGTCCACATTTCTCCCAGATTTACGGTATTTATCATGGAATCAAGGCTGAAGGGTTGCGATATCCATAATACTGAGCCTAAGGGTTAACAACTCATGGCTTCTGGCTACTAAAAAAAAAACTGCCTAAATAAGTGTATGACTCCAAGTCTTGATTGAGGGTTACACTACATGAGATTGAATTAGTGTGTCTGGTATATTCTCATCTGGTATATTCTCATCATATTTGTTTCTGCTGGCCAGCTACACAGTTCAGTGCTTGGTATAACACTATGAGCTGTGAATTTAACAGGAAATACTGTCTGTTCTTCAGAAAATAGCTGTTGCCACAGAACTGATGAAGTGCCTTATACAGTAATTTGTGTGAACTTGCTTATGTTTTTGTCATAACTGCTACATTTGTCAGCAAATGGATAGCAGTGACGGTGACAGACTGTATGTGTTGGCACCTCTGGAGGCTGCCTTATGCATCTTAACATGTGTGCAGAATTGTAGCCTGCTTGACTCTTCACATGGGACAGTGACGGGCATTTTTGATTCACAGACACAGCAAAGGGGTAATTATGAGGTGACCCGGTTGTGATCAAGTTAGAACCCCCGACACAGCCATGATTGCCTCGTGATGACATCTGACCTGAGACACTACTCACCATCAAACCACCAGCCATGGAGAGAAAGCCGAGCCTTGCCTGCTGCTTCGCAGCTGGAACACTTCAAGTAGACACAGCCCTCCCTCGAGTCAACGTCCACAAAGATATGTACAATGCTGTCAATGGTCTTACACTTTTCCAAAATGGCATCTGTCACACAGTCTTCCCAGTTGTCTTCATTTTCACTGTCCAGACAACAGAAAAAATTACAAATTGGCAAGTAAAGAGTAATGTAAAGCAAAGTTAATAAGTAATTAAATAGTAGTGTGTTAGTACAGTTAAATAAGTAAAAAAATTATGCAAGTAAAGCATAATGAGTAAGTAAAAAGTAATGTAAGTAAAGATAAGATAACTAAGTAAAACTTAATACAGGCAAAGTTAGATAAGTGAAAAGATTTGTAAGTAAAGTCAGTTGAGTGAGCAAAAAGTAATGTAAACAAAGTTAGATAAGTAGAAAGTAATGTAAAGTTACATAAGCAAGCACAAATGTAAGTAAAGTTAGATAAGTAAGTAAAAAGTAGATAAGTAAGCACAAATATAAGTAAGCACAAAATAATGTAAGTAAAGTTGCATATGTAAGCACACATGTAAGTAAAGTTATTAAAGTAAGAATGTAAGTAAAGTTAGATAAGTAAGCACAAATGTAGGTAAAGTTAAGATAAGTAAAGAAAAAGTAAAGTCAGATAAGTAAGTAAAAAGTAAAATTAGATAAGTGTCAGGAACTTAATTGTCTAGGGTTCGATTCCATTGGATCTGCTATAGGCTAATGACAGGAAAACACCGTACAAACACACTCAAGCCAAACACAGGTTGCAACACACACACACAATCTTTATTATCAAAGATGCAAACGAAGGGGTGGTACACCTCAGGAGGAGTAGCGCTCCTTATTCTGAAACCAGACCGCGTCTAACTTTAAAATCGCTAGAGGCGCCTTTACACGTTCATGAAATAAGCTCTGAGCCGCTACCACTCTCCCAGTACAGTGTCAGCTCAACCGCTGTCTCCCAATGCCAAAGACGCTATGGCATACGCAACGTGTAGGCCTAAGTGCGTCGACAGTGTTAACGCCACCAACAATGCATGGTCTGGCTTCTAGTTACAACTACTGACACAGTCTAGCTACTACCTTACATGAGATATTAACTGACATCTAACTAGGACACATGCTGTCTACTCTGTAACGAAGGAAATACATTTAACGACACTACGAACAGAACGCGTTACAGCTAATAACTACACAGGTACCTTTCTACAAGTCAAAACGTACTGTCACTAAAATCTAGCACAATCTCCTCTCTCGTCCCACGTCCAGTTTTCTAGCAGTCCCCCACGCCAGCATCCAGCGTCCGGTCCAAAATGTGCAGAGTCTACTCTGCACACCCGTTCACACGATGGTCAAAACCTTCGTAAATCCGCTGGTCAATGACCAAGCCACGCTTCGCTCATGCATACATGCTCGTTTTTGTGTGTGTATACACGTACTGAGTTGCACTAAGGGTTGCAGGATACGATGATGAGATTCATCATCATCATACTGAACTGTCCCATAACAGGGCGAACCCTGACAATAAGTAAGCAAGCAAAAAGTAATGTAAGAAAAGTTACCTAAGTAAGCACAAATGTAAGTAAAATTAGATAAGTAAACACAAATGTAAGTAAAATTAGATAAGTAAGTTAAAAGTAAAGTTTAATTAAGTAAAAAGTAAAGTTAGGTAACTAAGTAGAAAGTAATGTGAGTAAAGTCAGATAAGTAACTAACTGGCAATATCAAACTGCCTAGTGAAACCAAACAACAGTCAAAGAATGCCTAGGTGTTGAACAGGACATGTGAGTAACTTTTATTTCTTAAAGGAATTCAATACGTCCCTACACTGTATGTATAAGAATCCTTAAAATTCCTTGGACAGCCACATGTTTTGAGAGAGGTGAGGCTCAAAGGCAATTTATCGCAAACAACAGAAAGAGACAGTCATGATTTTCTGGTCACGTTATGAGAAGAATGAAATGGGAACATGATATGATTGCTGGGAAGATCCGAGGAGTGGAAAAAAAGATGCACAGGAAGATAACACGAGACAATCCCTGACAGCCTTTAGTCATGGCATGCAGGGGTGTCAGCACAAGAACTGGTAGATGCTGTTGAAGATTTGAAGATCACAGATTGTGCAGAGGCATGATCATCCACACTAGTCAGCAAGGCCCTTGATGATGATGATATTGGGCTCTCCTCCGAAAAACAGTCCTAAATTATCGAGGCTAGGAAAATACCCTAACGGGGGCCTCGGTCAAATGTAAATTGCGGACTCCATTCCAACAAGTACACCGGGGCAAAAGTAGGATTAATTTCCAGCAACAATTTCACAAAATGCAAAAAAATTTTCACGGAATTATCAACATGACAGGCAGACCATCAGCTCCAACACTGGGTCCTAGGTTTAACTTCTCTCCAGGGTCCTAGGTTTAACTTCTCCCCTGGGTCCTAGGTTTAACTTCTTCCCTGGGCCCTAAGTTTAGGGTTAGGGCAACGAGTATTTCAATTATGACACCGCCATCAGAATCTCTCACAACAGTAGAACCGCAACACTAGCGACTGAAGGGTTGTGCATGCAAATAAAACAGTTGCAACGTTACAAAGGCAGGACTAGTCGCGAGATTTGCTGCCCGCCCCTGGTGTAAACTCGCTGGAAAGAAATCCTAATTTTACACACCACTGAGGCCCTGTTGGGGAGTTTTCTAAGGCTCGGTAATTTAGGACTGTTATTCGGAGACTGTATATCAATGCATCCTACACACCCATATTCATATATCTGGGCATCAGACATATTATGCTAAACTACTATTTTTACAGATTAATCAGCCCTCGATGGATGTGGTCAACAATCTGCCGGCCACCTTTACTTCCAAGGACTTTACCTGGTATCCATGTTAGGCCTGGTCGTCCTGGGAGCCAAGATCATTGGTTAAAAATATTTGACTCCATGCTGATTTGAAGCTAAGAAGGGCCAGAGGCAGAGCATTTAGCCACTACACCTTCCATTACACACACATATAGATATATATATATTTAGAGAGAGAGACAGAGAGACAGAAAGAGAGAGAGAAAGAGAGAGAGAGAGAGAGAGAGAGAAAGAGAGAGAGAAAGAGAGAGAGACAGAGAGAGAGAGATAAAGAGAGACAGAAAGAGAGACAGAGAGACAGATAAAGTATTATAATACCTCCCAAGTATATTTGTGTTTATCACTAATGTTCAACATACTGAAAGAGACCAAGGAAAAACAAGATGACGACGCCAAAAACTGTGTTGTACTGATATACGTTGTAACTATGTGGGTTCCGGGGTCCATTTGAAGAGAAAACAGACTACTGCCTTTCAACAAGCATGTCATAAAAGGCGACAATTTAAGGTTTGCTGAAGTCTAATGTGTTGCGCCGAAAGACACAAGATGACAAAGCCTAAACCACAACATGTGTCAACCAGAGTGAACAGAGAAGAAAACAAGATTAACGCGGCAGGCTCTCCTGAGATGCTGAAGAGGACAACAGACCACAACTCACACATTGCTGTCAAACATGTTGCGGATCTTCAGGCATGGGGTCGGGCTGTAGATGACTGGGTTATTGCCCTTGTTCTCACTGTTCTCACCAAATGCTGAAAAAATTAATTACAGTCAAGAATTAACAGGTGATAAATGCACCACTGTCGATTCCTCTGGGACAAAGCGAAAGTGAGAAAGAGAGAGAGTTTGTGTTCACCGGATGTAAACCCCAGTGGAAATACCTGGCTGTTCACCCATTTCTGGACTTTGTTCCAGGACCTGAGTTTTGCGTATGCGTCTGTTTTACAGATCTGCACTGTGAAGGAAGTCCACAATTAGTCGACTCTTATTACATGCTTGTTGGGGAGGCGTGGGTATATTCTTGTTTTCCACACAATGGGGCCCTGGAACCCACAAACCCACATGGAAAGAGAGACAGTAAAAGAACAACAACAGAAAACAAAAAGTAAACATTTTTTTATTTAAATGACTTAAGAATGGAACCTGGAGTTATCTCAGCCTGTCTGCCTAGACTGACGTATATGGGGGGGGGGGGGGTGGTGCAAACCCAGAGCTGCAAGAAATGAGCATTTCAGCAAGGGAACATCTAATCAACCAACAGAGAACAGGCAACATCAGTCATTTTACAATTGTGGAGCTGCTGAAGAGGAAATCACTGCATCTGTGGATCTGTCCAGACAGCTGTAATGATAATACTTTGTGATCACATGCAGGCTCATTCAAACATTCTGCTTTATCATTCCTTTCTTGCATTATTTTATTCATCCATCTCTCATTAGGTATATCTTAAGCAACTATATATGCATAGTTCCCTGTGTAGGTTCAGGAGCCTATTATAGGGAAAACAAGAATAGACCCATGGTCTATGCAAAAGCATATTGTAAAAGTAGACTAATTAGTAATTAAGAGCTTCTTTCAAAGTCGGAGCACATCTGCCTGAGAGGAACTAGCAGTCTGCATACAAATGAGTCAAATCTGTAAAACAGATGCACGTGCAACACTCAGGTTCTGGAACAGTCCAGAAGTGGATAAACAACCACAACTTTCCGCCAGAGTTTACAGCTAGTGAACGTGAAGAAGAAGAAAAAGATATGCACAGTAAACACTTCTGAAAATATGTAAAAATCATTACTAACAATGACACAATATGTACATCACCACCTGTACTGATACATAAGGGTTAGGGCTCCCACTGGTCAAGTACGATCTACACCTGGCAGTAGCCAATATGTCTGTGTAACAGCTCTGATACTGGCTGCAACTGTATAGCGTGTAGATATGGTGGGTATATTTACAAACACACACCAAAAAAACTACATTATTTTGAGATATCGAGTCAAAACTGACGCACGAAGAGAACAAAACTGGCGCACGAAGAGTACAAAACTGACGCACGAAGAGAACAAAACTGACGCACGGAGAGAACAAAACTGACGCACGAAGAGAACAAAACTGACACACGAAGAGAACAAAACTGAGGCACGAAGAGAACGGAACTGACGCACGAAGAGAACAAAACTGACGCACGAAGAGAACAAAACTGACGCACGAAGAGAACAAAACTGGCGCACGAAGAGAACAAAACTGACGGACGAAGAGAACAAAACTGGCGCGCGAAGAGAACAAAACTGACGCACGAAGAGAACAAACTGACGTACGAAGAGAACAAAAACTGGCGCACGAAGAAAACAAAACTGACGCACGAAGAGAAAACAACTGACGCACGAAGAGAACAAAACTGACGCACGAAGAGAACAAAACTGACGCACGAAGAGAACGAAACTGACGCACAAAGAGAACGAAACTGACGCACAAAGAGAACAAAACTGACGCACGAAGAGAACAAAACTGACGCACGAAGAGAACAAAACTGGCGCACGAAGAGAACAAAACTGACGGACGAAGAGAACAAAACTGGCGCACGAAGAGAACAAAACTGACGCACGAAGAGAACAAAACTGACGTACGAAGAGAACAAAACTGACGCACGAAGAGAAAAAACTGACGCACGAAGAGAAAAAAACTGACGCACGAAGAGAACAAAACTGACGCACGAAGAGAACTGATTGCCCACATCAGAAAGAGACAACCTGCGTTCTTTGGTCCTGTGATGAGAAGGAGAAAACTGGAGTAGATCATGACAGTAGGAAAGTTGGAGGGGAGGAAAATTGGAGAGAGACTGTATTAAAGGGTCACGGCTAGGCGGGTTGGCAACCATTGTCCTACATGATAATAAGGCAGCAGTCTCACGACAACCCATCTCTGTCACCTCTGACGATGACTGTGCATGGTTGGTTGGTGATGCTGTTATTTGCTTTGCTTATAAATCCTAGTATTCATGAAAACATGACTATTCTTCCAAGGAGAAGTGAACAATCATCAAAACAGGCACTTCACTTGAATAAGAAACAAAAGGCCTGAGGCATTTTGAGAGCTGATAAAGGTGCTGCTGAAACAACTGCATGGGACAGAACAGAATAACAAACTGTGAGCCCTATGTGACATCATTGATTCTTTGGCACCTTTTCACCTTTCTAGACGACAGTGTTATATTACGCTATAAGGAGGCATGGGACTCACAGCCCATGGTGATGGCAAGTGTGATTAGCAAGACCCGCCCAGGTTAAGAAAAGTCTTCCACAGGGGATTTCAGGACCGTCGTCGTCAACATCTGTGTTGTGTTTTTCTCAGATGCTCATCCTTTCTGCTATCATTCCTTCCTACACTGTCATTCCCTTCATGATGTACCCCCTCCACACAACATGGTCCATGGCATTGTTTCCATGGGTCCACCTCAATCAATACCCCTATCACTCATAATGTGTGACACATTATGAAACAAAATGATGATGAATACATGATTGAATATTATATGTACTCGGGATTAATTTTAGACAAAGACGAATATGTTCCCAAATTATTACCTTGTCCTTGCCAAATCTTGCCATTATGTAATGCCGGCTGAGGAAACAAAAAATTTTTTTTTAAATAAATTGACTATAAAGAGCAAAAGGTATGTTAACAGTGCTAACTAGCATGTAACCAAATTAATGGACCCTCTTGCTGCCTGTGGAGCATCGATACATCTGGTGTTAGACCAATCAACGTTTGGTGTGCCTTTACTTCCCAAGACATTAATAAAAACATGTCTCAATGTGGATTTGAACCCAAGTTCTTTTTACCAGCAGGCAAGCCCGGCTCTCTAGCGTAGCTGGCTAAACCGGATTGCGCGGAGACAAGGTGACGAACTCCTCGTGGTCCGGGTTCACTACCGGGGGTAGGCAGAAAAGCCACATTTCTCCCAGATTTACAGTATTTACAATGGAATCGAGGTCGAAAGGTTGCGATATCCATAATACCGAGCCTAAGAGTTAACAACTCATGGCTTCTGGATACTAAAACAAACAAACAAAAACAAACCAGCAGGCAAGCATCTAGCCACTGTGCTACTGTGGCTACAGTTTGTACCTGGCAGGGTCCTGTAGGTTCAGCCCATGGTGGATGAATGGGCTTAACCTTTTTTCTGTCCCAAACAACGCACTGTGTGTGTATGTGTTTGGGTATTATTCACATGTATCAATCAACATGTTTTTACATCTTATAAAGGTTAAAGTTTAGAGGACTGACTTCACTGCATCTGGTTTTATCCCACATTGCTCGGCCTCTCTCCGCAAAACCGCTAGCCCTCCTGCCAAGAGCGCCGTGCAGAGCAAGAAACTGTAGCTCCGGCGACGATCCTTAGGGATCTCTGTAAAAATTGCACTCGAGAACTGAAGAGTGCAGCTGTGGAATGAACCCATAATGTTCAGATCATGAGGCAAACGGTTTGACCACTTTGCCACAGAGACCCCCATCTTATGTTTAGTGAGGAGACTCTGAAGAACTCTGAAAACATTCTTTTCAAGAAAGGGCTGTATATTTGGCCTTTCTGGAAGTAGTATATAAGTGAGTTTAGTACAGATATTCTAAACTCCCTTAGCCATTAGTCAGGACCTTGTGGGATTGAAAGATGTAATGTACAGAACAAATGCAAGTAGCCTTGTGTGGCTAGTTTGTTCCAGTGTCTCATCTGTCGATCGTTTTATTTGTGGAAGTCATGGTACCTGAGAGCTGATTGTTCAGAAAGCAATCATCGACTACTGAATGTAAAATTTGCCTAGAAAAAAAAAAAACAACAGCCAAAAAATGCTGGGGTTGGTTCTGCAATGTCCTGAAAAGGATATGCAACTAAAAAAAAAAAAGCTGAAACCTTGAATGACATGAAATGACAATTTCCAGCATCTGTTTTCCCTTGAAGATCAAATCCATGACCAGCTTGTATAATGGGTTTGCTCTATAAATCTCATTCTGTGTTTACCCTTGAAAAGTTGGCTGGCACATTGTGTTATGATAAAGTTGGGCTGTGATCTGCTCCTTTTGGCCCAGAACATACAATTTCAAAGCAAGGTTTCCCAGTTGTGAATTTGAACAAAGACACAGCAGTATATTGCACAACTGACTGCCTGTCATGTTTCACAGTAACTTGTCAGGTGCATACTACAGTGACAATTGGTTAGAATGAAGCAAGAGATTGAATACTCCCAACTGAAACACAAAAATCAACATCACATTTCAGCAAGCCACTAATAAGCCACCTCTAACGACATGCAGTGGGTGTAATTAGTGGGAAATCCAATATGTCAAAAGGAATTCCCCAGTGTGATGGGTTAAGGGACAAGGGCCAGTTAAGCATGTACTTACAGGGAAGTGGGTAAGAAGTAAGCTTGTAGCTGCCTGTGTGCGACTGAATGATTGGAAGAAGAAACCCATGGAGCAGGAAAGAAAGGATTGGGGACGAGGAATGATCAGTTGATGTTTTGAAAGCGAGAGAGAAATGTCAGGTTGAGTGGGAAGAGTGTCTGCCATGAACTGTAAGAGCTGACAGTGTGATGAGGACTCTGGCAAGCAGTGAAAATGGCTGGAACGGGATTGACAAGGTGTTAAACAATCGGGTAGTTGAGAATGTTTGTTGCACTGTACATCAGAGATGAGCAACTGGTGTAAATGTGACTTCCAAACTGCAAGGTAATCTGAACACGACTGATGCTGTAGACTGCCAGTGGTGGCAGTTGTGACCGAATGCCCTAGCAGAACAACCGATGACCAAGGACAACGATGAACTGACGCGACTGTTATAAACAGTGGATCACAACATAATCTGTCCATCGTCTTGTAAGTTTACTACAAATTTAACCTGTTGAGTCGTTGGTCAAGCATTGAGCCAAGGTGAAACACTGCAGTGGGCCTTTTGTTTGCCCTAAAATAATGGGGCCCCAGAACTGGAGAATGAAAAGTAACCGAGGAAAAAACGACCAAACAACTACATTATGCCATAACCTAGTTGAAAATGCAGCCTTTCAGTGGATTCTAAAGCAACCACAGAATATCTCAATAAATGAGAAATCCGGGTATGTTGTAGTCAAAGATAATGAAGAACAGACCAGCTGGAAAGTAATGCACCAATGCATGAAGGAAGAAGTGTGGACAGAGCTGACATTATTAAGACTAGGCTGGTGGATCATGACAAATCTCAGACATTGACATCTTTTTGTCATTACACAAACATGTCAGTGTCCGAGATTTGGAAGTGAAACCTGGTAACACAAACATGTCAGTGTCCGAGATTTAGAAGTGAAACCTGGTAACACAAACATGTCAGTGTCCGGGATTTGGAAGTGAAACCTTTGGAAGTGAAACCTGGTAAAGCATGCCTATACCATCTATGGCGGGTAAGACGGGAGACATTATTGCCAACTTACTGGAACAATCAGTAGAGGTACCCTGGGGTGACTGCTGCATCAGAAGACTGAGCCCACATGGAAATGTCCAATGTGCAGTCGACTGCGATAACATTAGTAAAACATACAAGACAAGCACAGATGTTGTTTTACATACCTGTATCCAATGCCAAACTTCAAACTCGTCCCCATGAATGAGCCGTGTTTCTAACCTGATGCGAGACTCGTTGGCTCCTATAAACTTCACAGCTTTGTCCCAAATGGGCTGCATTTTTCGTCTACAAAATTTAATACACATGTTATTAATATATGAGGTCAGCTTTCCTGTTTCCATTTGGCAAAATCTGGGGCATTCTTGTTAGACATACAGACTTCTATTTTCAAAGTGGCTAATAGCAGCATTGCTATGTTTTCAATAGCTGTGATTTCTCTCATATCATTCTGTTCCCTTACATGGACTGCTATTTTGTGCGTTGTCCAATGCAGAAAACTATGTATTTTTGTGTGGAAGCAGCATGTTTTGTAGTTGTGCTATGTCAGGGCAGGATAATGACCGATAGATTTGGCAGCCTCGACTATGCTGCATTCACAATGTTTTGATCTCAGCTCCTGTATACAGGAAGACCGAATCTCGTCAGCAGGGGACTGCAACTGTCTAGAGAGCAAAGCCAGTAAAAGTTGTCCTATGAATGGGAACGTGTCACCCATTTATTTTGGTGGGGAGGAATCAACACACAAACAGTTAACTCAATGGCTTGGCCTGTCACGAAGCCAGCACAACAACCCTGCGCTTTTGGACTGTTGGGTATCCTGTCCTCCTACATGCTAATCAACAACGCTATCTTTAGAATGACCCAGGGTGAGAGAGACGTTATATTCATTCCCAAAAGGTTCAGGTTTAAACTCAGTAAATAGTACATTTTTTATACGTCTAAGTCATAGTGAGAAGAACTGGTACTTATTCAATCCTAAATTCACCTGGAATGAGTTATAACCGGGGTAGACCCATGTGATTTGAACTTGTTTGTGGAAAGACCACTATCCAACACCAAACCACTCCCTAGTCTGGTGGAAGGAATCTTTTCTGTCTTTGGAAACATCACTTTTTGGCTGCTTTTCCCACAGCTAGAGGATATCTTGAAATTCTGTTGAAACTTTTATTCTCAAAAGTCACAGATAATCCTTTTCACCTAGGACTTTTATCATTGTATGGGTAAGTAGTAGTAGTTAAAAATTTATGTTGGGGCCTATTTCTTTAAAGGAATCACAGAGTACAGTTATGAGATTCTGTTTGTTTCAGCATTTAAACTTGTCTTGCTACAAGGCGTGTCTCCATGTTGCGCGTACCCTGCTCCTCGGGCAGAAGGGATTCCCAGTTAAATAAAGATGACAGATCAAAGGTACCCACTTAAATACACTTGCTCATGCATAAGTAAGTGCTGTAAAGGATTAATAAAGGCTTTTATACCTTCTTTAAGAAGAAATAAGAAGAAGAATATACACTACACAGTCAGTCAGTTGAAATCAAGGCGTGAATGGGGTACACAGGCGCTGGGGGGAAAGGGAAAGGGGGAGAGAGAGAGAGAGAGAGAGAGAGAGAGAGAGAGAGAGAGAGAGAGAGAGAGAGAGAGAGAGAGAGAGAGAGAGAGAGAGAGAGAGAGAGAGAGACAGACAGACAGAGAGACAGACAGACAGACAGACAGACAGACAGAAAGAGAGAGAGACGAATGATCAAAAGTAGAGAAAGTTTGCATGTTTTGTTCTTTCATCTAAAATATAAAGGTTGTGTTTGATTACCTGATTTAGCATATGCATCTTTTCATGGAAACAAATCGGTGATTCTTATTCCTATCATTGGAATGAGCAGTTTCCGTGCTGCGTTTTCGACAGAACAGTAGCGAAATCAACATGACTTGCTCTTCCATACTCTTAAAAGTCTGAACCCTTTGAGGTACTATCAGGTCTAAGTTCATCCTTGTGACGGCCAATCACTGCCTTCTAAGTGCCTATAATTAAGTAATGTTATGTTGTTGGTGGCAGGTGAAAGGTTATATGGCTTTCTGAGGGTCTAATGGCCTTTTCCACTGCATCGCCAGGATTGTGGTTGGTACCGTTCCTGATGAGTCAATGTTGTCACCAGGCTCCTACCACCACCATACCCACCTACATCACGCAAGGTATCACTTTATAACCTAAATAAACTAAATGTTTGGTTCTCGGAGCCCGAAAGTGTTGTGCTACATTTGGTATCTTCAAGATTCAGCTTAATCCACCATCACCAGGTGGCATTCAGTCACCACATCTGCACGGGTCAGAAACCAGCAGCAACCCAAGTGTCTAACATTGACTGGTAGTTTCACCAACATTTGAATCATGAGTCAAGCAACAGTACTAAAGGAAGTTGTCTACATTTTGGTATGCCATTCTGCACTGGTGTGATTAATGCATATTTAGTCTATGCCGTTCTGCACTGGTGCGATTAGTGCATATTTAGTCTATGCCGTTCTGCACTGGTGTGATTAGTGCATATTTAGTCTATGCCGCTCTGCACTGGTGCGATTAGTGCATATTTAGTCTATGCCGTTCTGCACTGGTGTAATTAGTGCATATTTAGTCTTTGCCGTTCTGCACTGGTGTGATTAGTGCATATTTAGTCTATGCCCAGAACAGGACACAACCAATTACGTTACATGTACACAAAATTCAAGATAGGTGTATCAGCCATGTGCACCTGTGGAAATGTGCCCCAGACAGCAGAGCATGTACTCCAGGACTGCACCGATTTTGACACATTAAGGCAAACCTTTTGGCCAGAAAGAACAACAGTGGAACGTAAACTCTATGGACCACTGAATGAACTAACAACAACAGTGAAATTTATACAAGAGACAAAACTGCTGATATAGACAACTTATTTCAGGCGAATGAAAGAAGAAGAAGTCTATGCCGTTCTGCACTGGTGTGATTATTTAGTCTATGCCATTCTGCACTGGTGTGATTAGTGCATACTTAGTCTATGCCATTCTGCACTGGTGTGATTAGTGCATATTTAGTCTATGCCATTCTGCACTGGTGTGATTAGTGCATATTTAGTCTATGCCATTCTGCACTGGTGTGATTAGTGCATACTTAGTCTATGCCATTCTGCACTGGTGTGATTAGTGCATATTTAGTCTATGCCATTCTGCACTGGTGTGATTACTGCATATTTAGTCTAACTTTTAGAGTTCTAACAGATTCTGAGGTGCTCCTGGGTCTTCGCTTCTGTATGCTGTTCAAGTTCTCATCAACAAAGGAGCTGTCTGTGAAGTTCAACTTTGTGACTTTGAAGACGAGGGACTCCAGTCGTTCCTGGAACCAGTCAGATAAGTCTACTCTACAGGTCCAAAGGACACAGCCATATGGAAAGTTTTAGCCAGAGGCTTACACCTTCTATTACATCTGTTAGGGGCTACGATGATGATAATGACATCAGAACAGTGGCGGTCCAGTGAACAGTCTGACTATCAGACACATTATGTGTGTCTTTCTGCTTTCGTTTGTGTCCTCCACTTCTTTGGTCACATAAACCTTGTGATGTGATATTTTTTCCACAGTGTCGTATATATCAAGGGGAAACACATATTATGACATGTGACATCGCTGTTTTGTGACATGGCCGAAAAATATGCCTCAAGTTTCCTTTGATACTCCACTTCCAAACACAATAGAGTCAGTGAGACCAATTTGATAAAGCTGTGTCCTTTCCAAAGTTTTTAAATTAGGATCTGCATGTTGTCATCAAGAGCCTATTTATGTTTTCATCTGTCATTTTCCCCATGTGGGTTCTTGGGCCCCACAGTCGGGAAAACAAGAACCCACTGCCTCTCCAACAAGCATATCAAAGAAATCGACTAATTGGGGACTTTATTCAAAGTCGAAGTGCATCTGCCCGAGCGGCAAGGAACAACCAACTGCACACAAATCAGCCAGTAAAGCGGGTGTACACCCAAAACTCCAAATGGACAAACAACCAGCAGTTTCTGTCGAAGTTTACAGCCGGTGAACAAAGAAGAAGAAGAAGAAGATCTGTTATTCTGTCCCCCTTTTCTGAGGAATAACAAAGAGCTTACCTTTTTGATGGGGGAAGTAGCTGGTCTCGAACGTGCTGTACAGCTAGGTACTGTGAGTCACTAGAATCCTCTCCCTTTGTCTGCTCATAATGGTTTTGCAGAATGTCTATTAGATATTCATTTTAAAAAAAATTCAGACATATGCACAATGACATTTTCTTTAACATTGTCCACAAGTTTGAAAAATGTACTGTGTGAAAGATGATAAGAATACTATGAACAAAGTGTACAACATATGAGTTTTGAGGAGGAGGAGGAGGAGGAATCTGGGGAGAAATGATCCACTGCCCCTCTAACAAGAGGTTGTACAAAGTTACTAATGGGGAGGGGGGGGGTTGTGTGTGTGTGGGGAAGGGGGGGGGGGGGGTTCCCCTCGAAGTCCAAGAGCATCTGCCAGAGAGGTGAGGAACCAATAGTCTGCAAACAAATAAGCCAGATCTGTAACACGAGTGTGTGCAAGCAAAACTGGAACAGGATGACTAACGTCCAGTAGTATGCCAACAACCAGAACTTTCCACCAGAGATCACAGTGGGTCAATGCGAAGAAGAAAACTGCTACAGCAGCTCCCTATTGGCAAGTTCCCGTCTATCCAGATGATAGTGTTATACTGTGCTAGGTGGGGCTATGGGAACCACAGCCATGGTGAGGGCGAGGACGACTAGCAAGAGCCGCCCAGTCCAGTGTTGCCACTTTGGATGTTTTACTTCCAGATTTAGATGTTTTTCCTTGCATTTAGATAGTTTTGACATTTAGATGGTAGATGTTTTTCTAGATGTTTGTCATTCAGAGTGAATTTATCAACTCTAACCTAAGAAACAGGATGAAATTTGACCTCTTAAATGCTATCTTGACAATACAATTTTGCCTGATAAGAGTAGGAAAAGCTGTTCCACTTATCAGCTCCCTGATAAGGTATTAAAAGAAATTGGAACAGCTAAAGCATACCAGAGTCATTTTGGACCTGAAGCTTCAACTTCATCATCCAAGCTAAGTTTATTTTGTGGATCTTGTAAGGCAGACTTTATTAAAGATGAGGACATGATTCTATAGGCTAAGTCATATCAATTGCTATGTAATTTGTGACTCTTTCCATTTGGATGTTTTCCACGCAAATGTAGATGTTTTTAGATATTTTTTGACTCCATTTGGGATGTCTTTTGTCAAAGAAAAGTGGTAACACTGCCGCCTAGTTGCCATCACATGTATTTAGAGTGCTTCTTCTCAGCCCTCAACCTTTATGCAGTCATTTTTTCTCCCTTATTCCCATCCTGATCTGCTCCTCCACACCACACGGTTCATGGAATTTTATTCCCTCAATACCTGTATCTTTCATGTCCCACCTGCCATATCTTTATACCACAGTAAGAGGCCAGCATTGACATCTTCTACCCATGTCATTTACCATAGAGGATACCCTACACATACCAATCTACATTCTTTAGGTATGTGTCATGAGAAGGTGAAACCTAAAATACATTGTGACAATAGGAAAGTTGGAGGGAAAAAGAGCCAAAGAGTGACCAAGTAAGATTTTGGACTTAATAGCATCACAGCATAGAAGAACATGGGGATAAGAGGTTAGTCAATGCAATTAACAATTTCATGATCCTTATACACTAGGGTTCGAATGCGAGGGCAGCTTTAATTGTTCTTGTGGCTTTAGGGCTGTGCCAGACCACCAGGGTGATCCAGAGTTCCCTGGGAAGACCACATCCGACAGTCCCTGAATGACAGAGGACTTGATGGAACAAAGCCAAAAAGAAATCTGCAGACAGAGAAGTCTGACAGAGAAGTCTGGCAAACTCTCTGGCAAAACCTCTACATCCCAAAGCAGAACAGGATTGAGTAAGTAAGTTAGTTTTCGGACAGTGGTACCAGAGTCTGACTATTGAAGTGATTGAATGTTGGGGGAGCCCTCACTTCGTAATATTCCACAAAAGTGAAATACACTGCCGCAAACCTTCAGTGTGGAGATGGTACATCATTTAGAATCAGAACAGTATACTACTTCTTCTTAGCATTCACCAGATGTAAACTCTGGCAGAAAGTTATGGGCTTCAGTCTTCCATGCACATCCATTTTACAGATCTGCCTCACATGTGTGCGGGACTGTCGGTTCCTCGCCTCTCGTCTAAGGCTGATGCACTACGGTGTTGAGGGAAAAACCCTAATTAGTCAACTTATACAACATGCTTGTTGGGTTGTGACAGTGGGTTGGACCCCCCCTACCCCCCATAAACACACAATGGGGCACCGGAACCCACACAGGGAAGACAGCACACAAGTTAGAAGACAGGGTAGACATGATTACAACTGCCACACAGCAAGGACCACAAGAACCCACCAATAATATTTTCCACCATAGCGTACACCTCCTTCTGCTCAACCTCTTTTTGTTTCAGCTTGTACTTGATGGATGCCAACAGCAGAAGGATGGCAGCAAGCACTGAAGAGCAACCAACACAGAAAATATGAGACAAATGTGTACCTGAACAGACTCATAATCCTCTAGCATAGAGCTTTTCAACTAGAAATACGCTGGCCTGAACTGGCCCGCAGAGTCCTAGCAAGTGGCCCACGGATTACTGCCAGTTGTATTGTGGTAATAAATTTTCTTGGCTTTGGCACAGGCCTCTGATGATGCTGATTTTCAACATTTTGGCCCCTGAGTCAACTTAACTCTTTGAGTCCCAGGGGGTTTAGCATCACAGGCCCAGTGGGTAGTAAAGAAAGTAATAAAATTGGTGCATCATGCGTTCATTGGGCTTCTAGGTAGGAACCTATGAATGTATGATGCGTTCCTTGGGACTCAAAGAATGCTGCTCTCATGAGGACATGCCAGAAAGCCGCCTGGTCACCTGACAACCTTCCTGCCTCGAGAATGTTCATGTCCAAGGTATCCTTGTCATTCGGTGTCAAAAAATTATCATACTGATCAACCTTTGCATTTCTTGCAAAAACCATACCGTCCGTTACTGTCCTCTGTAAACCATTATAGCATTTAATATGGAGGGAGTATTTGAATTTACCAGAAACAATACGTTTATGAGCAGGTCGTCTTGCTATACCAGAAACAATACTGTTAATGAGCCAGTCGTCTTGCTATACCAGAAACAATACTGTTTATGAGCCAGTCGTCTTGCTATACCAGAAACAATACTGTTTATGAGCCAGTCGTCTTGCTATACCAGAAACAATACTGTTTATGAGCCAGTCGTCTTGCTATACCAGAAACAATACTGTTTATGAGCAAGTCGTCTTGCTATACCAGAAACAATACTGTTTATGAGCCAGTCGTCTTGCTATACCAGAAACAATACTGTTTATGAGCCAGTCGTCTTGCTATACCAGAAACAATACTGTTTATGAGCCAGTCTTGCTATACCAGAAACAATACTGTTTATGAGCAAGTCGTCTTGCTATACCAGAAACAATACTGTTTTTGAGCCAGTTGTCTTGCTAAACCAGAAACAATACTGTTTATAAGCCAGTCGTCTTGCTATACCATAAACAAAAATGTTTATGAGCCAGTCGTCTTGCTATACCAGAAACAATACTGTTTATGAGCCAGTCGTCTTGCTATACCAGAAACAATAATGTTTATGAGCAAATCGTCTTGCTATACCAGAAACAATACTGTTTATGAGCAAGTCGTCTTGCTATACCAGAAACAATAATGTTTATGAGCAAGTCCTCTTGCTATACCAGAAACAATACTGTTTATGAGCCAGTTGTCTTGCTATTCATTTCATGAAGAACGTCAGCCTTTTCCCCTCTTCTTTGTGATGATAGAATGTTGTATGAATATAATAATACAAAAAGCTGGCTAATGTAACAATTTAGGATCATACATCAAGTCACCTATTTCTTAAAGTTGAGATAAAAAAGCAGTTTTCCATATCACTGTGTAAACTGAAATACTGTGTAAAGTAAAACTTCTTCTTCATCTTAATCTCCTTCGTGTTCACGGGCTGTTAATATCAGCAGAAAGTTCTTCCGCTTCTGAACTTTTAGTCTTGTTCTAGGACTTATGTTTTGTGTCACATATCAGGGTTTTTTTTCTTCCAGATCTGGTTTATTTTTATGCATACTGCTGGTTACTCACCTCTTAGTCAGATAAACTTTGACTTCAAAGGAAACACTTCTGAGTTACCTTTTCAGACATGCTTGTAAGGAGGCAGTGCCCCCCCACCCCCCAGCCACACAGGTTTGTTACATAATGATTATCTGGCATACTGATGACATGGTGATCAATTAGCCCATGCCTTATTGGCCAGGTGACAATCAATGACATATCCAATATCACATCAGCCATTCCTTGTGTGGGTTCCGGGGCCCCATTATAGGGACAACAATAATAGACCCACTGCCTACCCAGAAGCATGTAGTAAGAGTCGACTAATTGGGAACTTCCTTCGAAGTCGGAGTGCATCTGCCTGAGAGGCAAGGAACCAGCAGTCTGCATACAAATGAGTCAGATCTGTAAAACGGATGCAAACGCAACGCTCAGGTTCTGGAACCGTACTGAAGTCCAAAAATGGATGAACAACCAGAACTTTCCGCCAGAGTTTACAGCTGGTGAACGCGAAGAAGAAGAAATCAGCCACTACTCCCATTAGAAAAATAATCTGGTACCTTCATAATGAGACTCAAGCAAGAACATTCTCGCAAGTACAATAAGATAGTAGGAGAGAGGTTTCTAGCTTGCCTTTACAGCTTTCTAGCATAATCTCTGCTGCACATGCTCTCTTTATGCAGTAGAGATATCAGGTCTGGCCAATTAGCATCCCTTGTTGCATGGATCAGTAAATGACACGTGTCGCACTGCAGACTTCACAGAGGCCTGTGGCGTTTCACATCTGAAAACCACTGGCGTGAAAAATGAAAAGCAGAAGAAAAAATCTCTGCTACCTTGCTGAACCCTGATAAAGAAGCATATTCCATCTAATGGATTTGAAGGATGACGCTTTTCTAGTAGTAAATGCTACTGCAAATATAATAATTAAGGTGGCAACACTGTACACTGTTACTAACCAACAATCACTGTGAAGATTCCATACAGGACTGTAGAAAATGACCTCCGCAGTCGACATAGGAACCCCATAGCAGCCACTTCAGACTGTAATTTAGCAATATCCTTGAGATCACTTGCTGATGAACCATCTGCTGTTTGAGCTCTGTATAAAAATTTTAAAAATACAAATACAAAAATAATGAAGACAACTTATCACAATCATCAGAAGGAGACAGTTATCATGTTATAAGAAGAGGGAAACAGGAACATGCTGTGACTACTGGAAAGATTTGTGGAAAGAGTGACTAAAGAAGACAATGTGAGAAGGTTCTTGTGAAATGATACATGCTACTGTAGATCGCAGGTTGTGGAGATGCATGATCGCCCAAACCAGTCAGCAAGGCACTTGAGGATGATGAAATGAGAAAAAAATGAGTGAACAAAAAACACAAAAAAACCTTGGAGGAAATCTTGTCTAGAAAACAAAAATGTACGAAAAGTCTGACATATAGCATATGAAGATTCATATGTGGGCTCCAGGGCCCTGTTTTATTCATGGCCTGGGGCAACAGTATCTCAGTGACCCAACCACAGATTTATGAGACTTGATAACGAAAGTGGAAAGGGGATATGAACTTGTCTGAGAAAGGGTTATAAACTTGTCTGAGGAAAGAATATGAACTTGTCTGAGGAATGGATACGAACTTGTCTGAGGAAAGAATATGAACTTGTCTGAGTAAGGAATATGAACTTGTCTAAGGAAGGGATACGAACTTGTCCGATGAAGGGATATGAACCTCTCTGAGGAAGGGATATGAACTTGTCTGAGGAAGTTCTTAACATTCTATGTAGAAACCACATTTCTGTTTCTTCCAGTTTCCTTTTTTGGTCTAGTGCCCATGATTCACAGGTGTTTAGCATATTAAAAGATCAAATTAATTTTCTTTCTTCCAGACGATATATTGCACAGAAAGTATCTGGTGTAATGAGTGAAGTAAACAGTAGACTCTCGACTATCTGGCTCATTAGTATCTGACCTCAGTTTTTTGTTTTAATTTACCATAATAAAATTAGAAATAGTTTACTTTGCCAAGAAGGACCTCTGAACAAGCATGTTGTAAAAGACAACTAATTAAAAGGTTTGCTAAAATTCAGATGTGATGACCCAAAGGATAGGATGTTGCAGCCTAAAATAAACCACCTAACAGTGTGCCAGTGCCACCCATTCGGTCTGGACCAAGAGGTTTGGCCGCAAATGTTGAAGATCATGATAATGATGCTGATGAAATTGTCACTTATTTAAAAAATTATTTCAATTTTAAAAGCTGAAAACGTTTACTTCTTTTTCTGTTTGTCTATAAAAGGATGGCTGGGACACTTTGTTGTGGTTTACAGATATACTGCAATATCTGCGCCCTTTGGACCAACATATCCATTTCTCAAGCCCCTTATTTGTCGCCTTTTATGAAATGCTTTAAAGGGGCCGGTAGGTCTCATTTTTTTTAGCAACCCCCCTCCCCAACACACACACAAACAAAATTAGGGCCACAGCACTCATATAGGATCAAAGTTGCACATAACAAACTTCCATAAGTAAAATCATTTGAAGAAAATTCATACCTTATATTCCAATGTGGATTAGCCAGGATATGCCTCAGACAGCATTCATGTAACCTCTGAGCATTCTGTGAGGATAAAAGCAAACACTATCATCTCTCTCCCTATATATATATATATATATATATATATATATATATATATATATATATATATATTCCTCAGAGGGACGGGTACTTGATTATGAATTATATTTATGAAAAATAAGATAAAAAACAAAAAGTTGACTGTGAGAAGCGTATATATTCACAGACTAGATTTAACTGCCTGGCTTTGCGTGGGATAGTGAAAGCCTTATTCTCCAGTCCTCTACCTCATCGTAGTCTCCACCGCTGTCCTATATGTAGGCCTAGCGGAAATAGGGGTCTAAAAAAAACTATATATTTAATATCTAGTCTTCTACTTGATCTTTGTCTCCAGCGCTGCGGTATCTTTAGTCATTACCCCTAAGTGCACTCGAGGCATCCCCTGTAATACTAACACCAGTAATAATCTGGGAGACAGACAAATGTACTGTCTCAGACACATATAGATATGTAGTTTAAAGGAAGATAACAAACAGCAAAATGTAATGTTTTTTTCAGATCTGTAAAATGGATGCAGATGCAACACTTAGGTTCTGGAACAGGACTGCAGTCTGAAAGTGGATGAACAACCAGAACTTTCCGCCAGAGTTAGCAGCTGGTGAACACGAAGAAGAAGAAAAAGTAGTTTATGGCTCACTAATTCGCTCTGGGTTTTTGTGAACTGCTTAGACAAACAATTAACTGCTCTGCTGTGAGACAGCCATAGGGAACAACACCCAGTGCAATGAAACCCACTCTTGAGTTTACACACCATCTCAATATAACTACAAATCTACAGGCATCAACACAGTTTAATTAAAACTGTCCCCGTGTTTTCTTAAGCCCAATTTGGGGTTGGGAAAGGGGGGGGGGGGGTGTAGAACCACTGCTCCCCTACCAAGCACGTCATATGTCCACTAATTATGGACGTTTCCTTCACAGTTGGAGTGCATCAGCCTGAGAGGCAAGATACCAAAATTCTGCTTACAAATAAGCCAGATCTGTAAAACAGATGTGCAAGCAAATCTCAAGCTCCAAAGTAAGACTAAAAGATCAGAAGTGGATAAACAACCAGAACTTTCTGCCGAAGTTTACAGCTGGTGAATGCAATGGAGGAGAAGCAATAAAGGACTGATCAAAAAGACGAAATACCTCATAAGGTAGAAGTAATTGGCACAGAATGGGTTAATATACCAAGTGCATTGGACTAGAGTTAAAGTCAGTCAATTAAAAGACTCTTTTGTATGCCAGTGATGCCCCATGCATATGGTGCTGCAGTGATAATTTGTCTAGACCTGAAGGCATTCGGTGAGTGATGCAATCAATATCCTGCTGGACAGCACGAGGTGAGTGATGCAGTCAATATCCTGCTGGACAGCATGAGGTGAGTGATGCAGTCAACATCCCGCTGGACAGCTCTAGGTGAGTGATGCAGTCAACATACCGCTGACCAGCTCTAGGTGAGTGATGCAGTCAACATCCCGCTGGACAGCACGAGGTAAGTGATGCAGTCAACATCTCACTTGACAGCTTGAGGTGAGTGATGCAGTCAACATCCTGCTGAACAGCTGGAGATGAGTGATGCAGTCAACATCTCGCTGGCCAGCTCTAGGTGAGTGATGCAGTCAACATCCCGCTGGACAGCTGGAGATGAGTGATGCAGTCAATATCTCACTGGACAGCTCTAGGTGAATGATGCAGTCAACATCTCGCTGACCAGCTCTAGGTGAGTGATGCAGTCAACATCCCGCTGAACAGCTCTAGGTGAGTGATGCAGTCAACATCCTGCTGAACAGCTGGAGATGAGTGATGCAGGCAACATCTCACTGACCAGCTCTAGGTGAGTGATGCAGTCAACATCCCGCTGAACAGCTCTAGGTGAGTGATGCAGTCAACATCCCACTGAACAGCTCTAGGTGAGTGATGCAGTCAACATCCCACTGAACAGCTCTAGGTGAGTGATGCAGTCAACATCCCGCTGGACAGCTGGAGATGAGTGATGAAGTCAACATCCCGCTGAACAGCTCTAGGTGAGTGATGCAGTCAACATCCCGCTGGACAGCTGGAGATGAGTGATACAGTCAACATCCCGCTGAACAGCTCTAGGTGAGTGATGCAGTCAACATCCCGCTGGACAGCTGGAGATGAGTGATGCAGTCAATATCTCACTGGACAGCTCTAGGTGAGTGATGCAGTCAACATCTCGCTGACCAGCTCTAGGTGAGTGATGCAGTCAACATCCAGCTGAACAGCTCTAGGTGAGTGATGCAGTCAACATCCTGCTGAACAGCTGGAGATGAGTGATGCAGGCAACATCTCGCTGACCAGCTCTAGGTGAGTGATGCAGTCAACATCCCGCTGAACAGCTCTAGGTGAGTGATGCAGTCAACATCCCACTGAACAGCTCTAGGTGAGTGATGCAGTCAACATCCCGCTGAACAGCTCTAGGTGAGTGATGCAGTCAACATCCCACTGAACAGCTCTAGGTGAGTGATGCAGTCAACATCTCGCTGAACAGCTAGAGATGAGTGATGCAGTCAACATCTCGCTGACCAGCTCTAGGTGAGTGATGCAGTCAACATCCCGCTGAACAGCTCTAGGTGAGTGATGCAGTCAACATCCCACTGAACAGCTGGAGATGAGTGATGCAGTCAACATCCCGCTGGCTAGTTTGAGGTGAGTGATGCAGTCAACATCCCGCTGGCCAGCTCTAGGTGAGTGATGCAGTCAACGTCCCGCTGACCAGCTCTAGGTGAGTGATGCAGTCAACATCCCGCTGAACAGCTCGAGGTCAGTGATGCAGTCAACATCCCGCTGAACAGCTCTAGGTGAGTGATGCAGTCAACATCCCGCTGGACAGCTGGAGATGAGTGATGCAGTCAATATCTCACTGGACAGCTCTAGGTGAGTGATGCAGTCAACATCTCGCTGACCAGCTCTAGGTGAGTGATGCAGTCAACATCCCGCTGAACAGCTCTAGGTGAGTGATGCAGTCAACATCCCGCTGAACAGCTCGAGGTGAGTGATGCTGTCAACATCCCGCTGAACAGCTTGAGGCGAGTGATGCAGTCAGCATCCCGCTGGACAGCACGAGGTAACGCAGTCAACATCCCATTTATAGACATGTTGCAACAGCTGATTTACCTAGGTTCTAGTAGAAAAATCTGTAAAGCAGCGGATTCCAGGTCACTGTGGCTTGGAAGGCAATGAAATAGCAGACAGATTGGCTAGAAGCAGCAGTGACATGGTACAACCAAATAGTGACTTATACCACCAAGAAACTAAGACATTAATACTATCTAGTATCCAAGAAAGGTGGCTGGATACACACACCAAATTCTCTCTTCAAGATTCGCTTAATCGCCTCTCTAGAGTTGCACAGTGTATTTTTTATATTCAGATTAAGGACAAGGCACAACACAAACTTTTCGGTGTAGGAAACACAGCAACGTGCCCCTGCAACTTGGCACCCGAAAATGCTGAGCATGTCCTCCAAAACTGTCAACTGTATGCTGACAACAGAGACGCAGTCTCGCCTATTCCAACCACAATGAAAACTAAACTGAAAGAAGAAGAAGACTGGCAACCATGACTTCCCAGGACATTAACTGATATCCATTTAATGCTAGACTGACCTAGCAGCCAGGGTAAATTTAGAAAAATATCCAACTAAATGCAGATACAAATAGAAGACCTTCAGGGTGGCAGGTGAGCGGGACTACAGCTAAATGGATCATTTACAGGACATTGCAGAACCAACCCCAGCAGCCCCTGGCTGTTGTGTGGTTTCTCTAGGTAAATTTACATCCAGTAGTTTGCCATTGCTTTCTGGACGGTCGGCCCACTGATACCACTGTCGAAACCAACGCAAGACGAATGGCCCGTAGCTGGGATCGAACCCGGCACCCCGGCATTACGAAGCGTTCGCATGGACTTAGACACAGAGCCGACGCTAAATGGATATATATTTAAAATGTGAGACGGTAAAGCAAAATTGTTGATTACCGGTAATGATAACGTTTCTGCCTTTATTCTATCCAGCAGCACTTCAGTTCTTATAGTAGGGTCAATTTCTCTGGAAGAATCACACTGGGCCACTCCTGAAAAACAAACAAAAATACAAGCTGTTAGGTTCAAGGCAGATGGTATCATCAGCAACATGGGAAAGTAATTTGCTTTAGACTGTGGTTAGCCATTGTATTTTCCTCCATATCTGGACGGTGAGTACATAGTTCCGTTGCCAAGAATTGAGTGGATGGTGTGATACTGTGAGCTGCATATTTCATTTTCAGTGCTTTATAACTGTGCTAAGTGGTTTGTGTCATGAACTGCAGATTCAGGGGGAAAAAACTGGTAGTGCCTTATGCGATCAACTGTGTGTGCAACTACTATACTGTCGATGATGCACTGCAAGTGCCGGGGTGTTTATTCTGGTACTTCTACAGCTGCCTTATGCATTTAATACATGTGCATGCTGTTATATTCGCAGAGAGTACAGTCTGTGTTAATTATGTCATAAGGGACAGTGATAAGCATTCTGTGTGGTTTTCACTGGTTAAGAAACAGGAACAACTATGAGGTAACCCATTTGCTTCGATGTTGCAACTGTGATTACCCGAGCAACGTGTCATGCCCATAAGCCTCGGCGGTCGTAACTGGCGATCTCACACATTCACCATAATCATAAATCATCTTTTTTATCTTCAGCAAACCAGGATACTATGTCGTTTAAAGCACAGCTGTGATTTTTAGTTTTTACGGCAGACTTCTTCAGTCATTTATTGTCGGCCTTAGCATTAAAAATTAAGATAATTTAGGTTTTCTTATTCTTCTGTGTCTGCAGCTGGCACGTTGCATTGTGGTTTACAGATAGGCTGTGACACCTACACCATCTGGCCCAACACATCCATTTTCAGCGGAACCCTAAACAGTTGCCTCTTACATCACGTTTTGAGGGGGCAGTGGATCTATTACCTCCTCCCCACCCAAGATGAGGCTAATGGTACCAGTAGCAGTCTGATTAGCAGTCTGAAGATTTTTTGGAAACTTCCGGTCGCTAAACACAGCCACTGTTTTCAGCCGTGGCAAATTTTTTGCTTCTACCAGATGGTGGCGGTTGCATTTTTACTCCATTTGTACAATGAAAGGATACAGTTTCGTTGCCCAGTTTCTGGGATGAGTGCATGGTGTGACACTGTGAGCTGCAGATTTCATTTGGAATGTGTGAATTGTAGATTCAGAAAATGGTGTGATGTCTGTTGTCGCAACATTGGTGGTGCATTATGTGATTAAAATGGATCGATTGTGCAACTGCTGATCTGTTGGTGACATCTGCTACCAACAATCATGAACTGCATTTCTAATGTCAGACTGTTTGTGTTAGCACTTTAGATGGCTACAGTATGCTTTTAATGCGTGTGTATCAAGTGCACATGCTGAGACAGCAGTCTGTCAATCTTTCCACAAGGGACTGTGATGAACATTCAGTGTGTTTTTTCATTGGCACAGGAGCAGAGTAACTATGGGGTAACCCATTTGCTATGAAGCTGAAACTAAAATTACCAGATTGACTGATTATATGTACATCTTGCCTTTCCTCCGAGTGTAGTCTGAGTCAACTCCACCTAAACACTCTCTGCTGCTGTATTCTCTCCCCTCACAGTAATGATCTATTTGCACTCCTACTTTATTCACTTGCTCCCCAAGGGCCACTGACCTCTTTATCTCTTCCGTGGGGCATGCAGGTGTGTTGGGAAGGGAACAGTCAGATTGGCTGGTAGGGCACTACTGGGCGGGGAAGTGATGAATGACAAGCATCAGCCTTATAAATTTTAAACTATAGTAAGTACAACAGCCAATTAAAAAAAAAGGTAAAGTCGGGAGATGTGAACCAGTGTCATTGCACACGGTTATAAACCATAAGTGCTCTGCCACCAGTACGGACAGCTGATAGGAACTGTCTGCCTGTGTTGCCATTTAGCACGTAACTCTGTAGCTACAGCGACGTTCTTCCATTTACCCCAGAGTATCACTCTGGTACCCATTTCCTAGAGGCTGGATGAACCCTGGGAGCCGCCCGGTTTCGAACACCGACCGTGGGCTGCAGTGAGACACAGCTGGATTTGAAAGCGAGCTTCTTATCGACTGCACTAACAACAGCCAATACACCTCCAAATGGAAGACAACTATGGACACTAACAAGAGATCTGAAAACACCAAAGCCTAAAACAAACCAGATCTACCCCCCCCCCCATACCTCCTCCACTATGAGGCCCCAGAACCCACAGTGAGACATGCGAGTGTAAACTTGCAAACTAAAACATGTCACATACCTTTAAGTGTGCTCAGCTCGTCAAACAATTTCTCAATAATTTTCAAGGTTCTGTCCACTTCGTCTTTATTAAAACAGTCCTGCAACAAATATGATCATGTGAAAGATACCTTAGCAAAACAACTTATTTTAAAGTGTTGTGCCTCTATACATGACAAGTATGCGATCTACCAAGGCACCTGATGCTGATAAACATGATAATGATGATATAACACAACAGCATTAAAACGCAGTTATATAAAACATTTAACAAAATAGATCAAAATTATATATAACCAAACATACAGAGTTCGGCTATACTGTGCAATGACATTAGGCTACATATTATAAAGTGGTGCTTCACCGCAGATTCACAACAGTTATGCATCCAATTACAAACACTACAATGAGCGTATATAACCGTCTACGATACATACACTTCTGAAACAACAGTTTATAACTGCACTATAACCTTCCATATTGCAGACAGCTATTGTTATGTGATAACATAACCCTTAACCCTGTAGGGTCGTGGAGATGTATTGATGGAAGCATTAGTACACAAAACCTGCCATCTTTCTCTGTTTTCCATTTGATGAACAAGTATACTATAACTTAGTCCTGTCCATTTCTTGATGATGTCAGTTTAGATCCTTTTTGGTCCTCCTCTTCTTCGACCACCCATCAATGTTCCTTGTAATCAAATCATGTCTCACCACATGCTCAAACCAAGCTAACTTGCAATAACACTGGAATACTAGACATGAGCAATATTTTGATCCTCACAAAGACATAATCTACAGACCTGACTTGGCATGCCATTCTTGCACAAAAGCAGATGATCTCCAGTACCTGTTAAAAGGAAAGATACAAAAGCTATAGCCATAAAAGAACATCGGTTTCTAATAACTTCTCTTCTTCTTGTTCACTGGCTGTAAACTCCGGCGGAAAGTTCTGGTTGTTTGTCCACCTCTGGACTTTAGTCTTGTTCCAGAATCTGAGTGGTGCATGAACATCCATTTTACAGATCTGACTTAACTGTATGCAGATTGCTGGTTCCTTGCCAGATGCACTCCGACTTCGAAGGAAGCTCCCAATTAGTTGTCTCTTATGATTTGCTTGTTTGGGAGGCAGTGGGTCTATTCTTGTTTCCCCAACATGGGGATTTTCTAATAACTAATTTCTTTGTTAATGTTTATTCAAAGGATCAACATCATGGCACACCGGTGTAACCCATAAGTGCTCCGTTCTACTTCTAACTCAAGCCTGAGTCTGAAGAATCTCAGCGCAGTGCACAAACTTTGTTGCACTGGCGGTGATCCTGAACTAGCTTGAGTAGATTTTTAACTCAAAATTTTGCCCAGGCAGCGCAGTTAGGCTGCTCTTTTTTATTTCCAACTGCCAAGGAATATTTTGCGTGCGCAACAATACACAAGAGCGTCTGATCTTACTACCAAGAGACCCGGGGAAATTACTAATGTCCACGTGAAAAAACCTCAGCCTTCACCGGGACTTGAACTCAGGACCTCCAGCACTCAAGGCGGACACCATACCTCGAGACCACTCAGCCCTCTAATTTCTTTTCTCCATTGTGGGTTCCAAGGCTCTATCTTGAAAAAGAATTTGACAACAAAACCAGAAAATGAACCAGCAGAGTGTGAGTCAAATAACTTGATTTTCTTTCCACGATATTCTGATTCATCTCTGCAACCAGATTTACAAGTCTTCAGTTATGACCTATGTCTTCTGGTTCTTTGGAGCAGCATCAACATCTTGCACCAAATCTCCAGATATCCTTCTCAATCAATCGCTCATGGCCTATTTTGTTATCATCACCACTTCACTGGTTGTTTAATATGATAATAATGATTTTCCAAGATCAGTGGTTAATGTAAAATACAGGATCACTTATCTTATTTTTTTCCCACTTGAAATAAATTATCTATATCTGCAATGCTGTCTCTAGTAGGAACTTCACTTCTTCTTCTTTAGCATTCCGAGTCGTTGAGGTTCATTGCTGCCTATATAAACCCGCCTCCATTCCTCTCTCTGGTTGGCCTTCTCTTTCCAGTTGGTGACAAGTGTATGCAGGTCTGTCTGGACATTATCTCTCCATCGTCTTATTGGTTTTCCTCGCGGCCTATGACCATTTATCTCCCTTGTGTACATAGTTTTCACTTCTCTGTCATCTGACATTCTCTCAATATGCCCCAACCATTTCAGTAGTATGAACTTCAGTCTTTTGTAATTCGCCTGATTATTTATGTCTCTCACTGTGTGTGTGTGGTTGGGGGGGGGGGGGGGGGGGGGGGGGGGGGGGGGTGGGGGGGGGGGGGGTGTTAACCACTATTATAAAACTAACTGCATTCCTCTCTACTACGCATGCTTGGTCTCTAGATATAATTATGACCATGCATTCATGATGATAGGCATTTCACTGTATAGCTTAACAGCAGCTTTGTTTTGTCTGTTATTCAGAAGGTGGGTGCAGGCTCCCGGTCATCCTGTTTCCCCATAATCTCTAAATACTAATTTTCTAATATTTCATGTCACTAACTAATTTGCATTATTCTTCCCAAAACTCAAACAGTTCCAAAACTTGAGGGGCTATTTCCTGTGATTGTCACAGGTGAGAGAAGCCATGCATGATGCAGGTGATCCAGAATACCTGTAATATTTCTAGAAACTGTCATAGGTGAGAGAAGCCATGCATGATGCTAGTGATCCAGAATACCTGTCATATTTCTAGAAACTGTCACAGGTGAGAGAAGCCATGCATGATGCTGGGAATCCAGACTGTCATATTTCTAGAAACTGTCACAGGTGAGAGAAGCCATGCATGATGCTGGTGATCCAGACTGTCATATTTCTAGAAACTGTCATAGGTGAGAGAAGCCATGCATGATGCTGGTGATCCAGAATACCATACCTGTCATATTTCTAGAAACTGTCACAGGTGAGAGAAGCCATGCATGATGCAGGTGATCCAGACTGTCATATTTCTAGAAACTGTCACAGGTGAGAGAAGCCATGCATGATGCTGGTGATCCCGACTGTCATATTTCTAGAAACTGTCATAGGTGAGAGAAGCCATGCATGATGCAGGTGATCCAGACTGTCATATTTCAAGAAACTGTCACAGGTGAGAGAAGCCATGCATGATGCTGGTGATCCAGACTGTCATATTTCTAGAAACTGTCATAGGTGAGAGTAGCCATGCATGATGCTGGGAATCCACACTACCTGTCATATTTCTAGAAAAAACTGTCACAGGTTAGAGAAGCCATGCATGAAGCTGGTGATCCACACTACCTGTCATATTTCTAGAAACTGTCATAGGTGAGAGAAGCCATGCATGATGCTGGGAATCCACACTACGTCATATTTCTCATGACTACCATGACTCCCCTCTTCTACATGTTGGACTCTGCTGGAAAGTTCTGGTTTTTCTGTCCCCTTCTCTACTTTGGGTTTACTCCAGAACTTTTGAGTTTGCGTGCACATCGATCTGGCTTATTTATAACATACAGACTGCTTGTACCTAGTCTCTTTGGCTGATGCCCTCTGATGGAAACAGGAAACATCCCTAATTAATCGCCTTTTAGGACATGCTTGTTAGAGGGGCAGTAGGACTATTACACCCCCCCCCACCCCTCTCTTTTCACTAATGGACACCTAGATACTCACAGGGGGGGGGGGGGGGGGGGGGGGGGGGGGGGGGGGGGGGGGGGTGGTGGGTGGGGGGAGACTACATGAATGATCACAATGATTATTAGTTAAGTCTTTCCTCTTGAGCCTAAGGCGGCGCACAGGGCAGAGGTCATACTCATAGTTCTTCATGACTGGCAGTTTACTTCCACCTGTTTTAGGTCTTGAATGTTCATTAGGCTGAGCCTTCCCTGATGATGATTCTATGATATGCAGGGTCTGGTCTTACCCATTTTCACTATTAGACATTACTTTGTTGAAAAAAAAAACACACACACCAGCAAACAGATATCAAACTTACCTATGTTGCTTGACGAAGAAAACCAAGAGAAGAAAAAGTCTTTGTGTATCACAATGTAAGTGACAGACAAAGAAATAAAAAAGAGAGCAGCCACTCCTATCAACACTTGTGGGAGAATCTCCAGGTACCAAGAACGATACTGCTGAACTCTGTGGTGCCCGTTCAAATAGTTTCTGCGCCATGGATACAGTCTTGGATGATGCGTCGTATTAGAGCTGTTCAAATATGATGATGACTTATTTGATGAAAGGTATTCAGTGTGGCTAGAATCATGTCTTCCTGAATGATGAACACTGGGGAAAGAGCTGTTGCGAAGTCTTTTATTTTCCACTAGAACTGTTGTGCCTTCGTCAAAATCTGAGTCCGATGATTCAAATCTATTATCATCTTGCCTTGAGAGCAATGGATTCACATTGTTCGCGCCAGAATAGAGCTTAGATCTTGCTGGTGACGGCACTGCTATCTCTCCATCACTACTCTCATTGAAGCTTCTACTTAACCTGCTCTTTTCTGTGCTCACTTCTAGAACACTACTCCTCTGAGGACGTCGCTGGGGTGGTGGTTCAACAGTACGACGCCTGAGTGTTCTAAACACACTGTCAGACAACTGTGATGATCGTTTCCTCTCTTGATTCTCCCTAGCAATGCTATTCACATGATTAGTGCTTGTATTCTGACCATGCACATGATTCTTGGAGTTACTTGACCTAGTCAAGCTGCTAAGATAGGATGAATTCGGCGAATTCGCCACATGTTCCCCGTCGCTATCCTCCAAATTGTGCTTATCGCCGTTTAACGCTTGTGTGCGCTCTAAATTATTTGAATATCGCCGGGACCTGCTATCGTTCAACTGCGGAGACGCCGCTGCGGCGGTTCTATTACTATTTGCATTACTTGACTCACTATGAGTATACGAGCTAGCAGTATGTCCGTCTCCCCGATTATTCAATTGTGATTGTGAGGAACGAGCAGTGCGACTGTAGTTTGCCGATGGCGTCTTAACCGACTGTTTACTGTTTTGGGTAATGCTCCGTGCTTTAAGATGATTAAGTTTCTTTAAAAGAATTTGTCGCTTGTTGGGTTTGAGCGGGAGCGGTATTTCCTCGCCGTACTGTCTCAGCTCTGCTACAAGCTCTGCATCTGTCATCTCCTCGTCCGCCATGTTGTTGCTGATTTCATTTCGATACGACGCGCATGTCAGACATTCTTTCCCATGAGAAATTCGCAATTTTGCTCATCATGGTTTGGTTTAAACAACTGATCAACATTATGGCACACGGATGTAACCCACAAGTGCTCACTTCTATTTCTAACTCAAGTCTGAGTCCGAAGAAACGCAATGCAGTTCATGAACTCAGTAGCACCGGCGAGAATTCTGAACTACTTTGGGTAGATTTTTAACTCAAATGTTGCTCGTGCAGCGCCTATTTTTTTTTTTTCGATTTCCAACTGCCAAGGGATTATCTGGGAATTACATTTGTCAGGAGCCGGTCCTTAAAAGACCATGTGGAGAGTGTGTGACAAGATGCCAAAAATAACTTAAAGCACTTAAGACTATGGCTGCAAATGACATAGCGCAGAGAATGATTTTCACACTATATCAGCCCCTGATCCTCTCAGTGGTTGATTATAGCCTGGGACTGATTACCGTCTCAAAGAGTTGGGTAGACAAACTAGAACGCTTACAAAACGCAGATATGCGGGTCATTCTGGGTCGCACCAGAGACACCCCAGTGGTGTGTATGCGATACATCCTTGGTTTGCCGACTATTGCAGCTAGGCACAAGGTTCTGCAGGCGAAGTCATATCTCAGGGTAGCTGCAGACACAGACCACCCTTTGCATAAAGCTCTGGGTGTAGTTAAGGGTCAGCGGCTGATAAAAGGGAAGTCATGGATGGCTCAGGCAGAAGACACAGTCAGAAGATTTGCATCCTTGAGAACATTAAGCGAGGAGAGAAGTGTGTCAGGGTGCCACCTGAACAGCCAGACTTGTGTAGAGTCATAATTACACTCAAGGCTCAGAGGAAAGGCAAGACGTCCGTTTAATCAGAATGCTACGGGCACCATCAGTATCAGAACTCTTAGCTGGCTGCTGAAGATGGGGACGGAGTGATTATGGGAATGCCCTGAGTGCTGTGATGTCGGTTTTGAATCAAATCAAATCAAGAGATTTTTTGGCTCGACCACTTCGCCACATAGACACCTAGGACATGTTGGGTTCTCATCTTTGAGGTGGTAGTCCTGTGGACAGCAATCTCGGACTGGCGGAGACAGACAGCCACGCAAACATTTTGCTGTTAATCCAGAGTTGAACTTATTATTTTGCTCTTTTGGGTTCCATGTCCCATTTAGTTAGCTTTTCCCCCCTCTTGTGCCTAGCGCGGCGCATAGGGCGGAGGTCATAGCTCTCCACGTCTGGCGGTTCGTTGCCACCTGTTTTAGGTCTTAGATGTTCATTAGGCCCATGGTTAATTCCCTGATGATGGTTCTACTCGGGGTCTCTCTTGGTCTTCCCCATTTTCTATTCCCTTCAGTTGTTCATGGGAGTGCTTTATAGTGGAGTCTTGTTTTATCCATCCTGAGTGCGCGGCAGAGGTAGTTCCAGTAGCGCTTTATTTTAAAATTTGATGCATTATCTTGCTTAGTCGCTTTTCTCATTTTCCCACTGCCCCTATAATTTAAAAAAAAAGTTACTTGCGAATCCTTTACAGGACGTTACAGAACCAACCCCAGTATTTTTTGGGCTGCTGTGATTTTCTAGACAGCCCTTCTAATTAGCATGTCGTAAAAGTAAACTAAGTAAACTAACTGGGTGAGTTTACTTTGAAGCCGAAGTGCACTGGCCCGAGAGGGGAGGAACCAACAGTCTACATACATGTAAGACATATCTGTAAAATCGATGAGCATGTTAAAGCACAAGTTCTGGAACTCTGCCGGAGTTTACAGACTGAACGCGAAAAAGAACTTACATTTGATACTGGTTAGTTGCGTATCCTTTACAGGATGTTGCAGAACCAAACCCAACAGCCCCTGACTGTTGTGTGGTTTTTCTAGGCAAATTTACGTCTAGTCGTTTGCAATTGCTTTCTGAACGGTCTATTTTTTTGATGCCACTGTCGAAATCAACGCAAGGTGCATGGCCCGCAGCTGGGATCGAAACCGGCATCCCAGCATTACGAAGCTTTCACATCGACTTAGCCACAGAGCCGACTACATTTGACACTACTTGTAGTATATAATATGGGTGAATAACGTGGAAAGGCAACAGAAAAAAAGTAATTAATATTTTGAAAAAAGTCGGTTCTTCTTTAACTGAACATGAACATTTTCCCTTCTTGTGGTTTTTAGATAGTGGCTTTCAGAGAATAAACAGAAGATCTCCCGTGTGTCACCGGGGCCCTTACGGGAAGCGAAAGAATAGTGACCCTGCACCCTACCAGGCATGTCGTGAGAAGCGACAGGGTAGGGTTGGGCTTGAGGTTGGCTACCTCATTCCCGTAAAAACAATAACCACAAAAACCAACCAACCACGGATAAGTAAAATAAATAAATAAATAAATAAATAAACAAGTAAAACCCAGTCAGCCAAGATGAGGGAAGGCTCTTCAAGTAGAAGGAGTATGACTCGGTGTGGAGAAAGTCGAAAGGAGACCGGATCGTTGACATACCTCCTCTTATCTAGGAAAACCGCCAGAACTGGCAACTGGAACGTTAAAACTCTCTATGATATAGGGAGAACAATGGAAGTAGTGAGGGTAATAAAACATTGTAGAATTAGTATTTTAGGGTTAAACTAGATGAAATTAGATGGACTGTGGCGGGGAAAGGTTTTCCTAATTCAAGGGAAGCTATTTTGTTCTCAGGATACACAGAGGAAAAATCGCCCCACAGTAAAGGAGTGACGCTGATGCTATCGAAAGAAGCAGACAGGGCACTAATAGAATTGGAAACTGAGTCCCAGAAAAATAAGAGCGTCATTTAGAACAGAGAAGCAGAAGGTGAACATACGTGTACTTCGCCCGAATATAGATAGTTGATGTCTTTTACCGGTAACTGTGTAGCATGTCTGCGATCTGTTGCGCCAGTCTGTCCCACGTTTGTGTGTGTGTGGTGTCGAGATGGCACGGGAAAGTGATGCCGAAGATTTTCAGGGCGTCTGTGTGCTGGTGAGCTCTGGGAGGAAATCGGTATTTGCGTTTCCACCGCCCCAAGCCCCTGATTTGAGACTTTTTATGTTGATTCAATTTCCACTACCTCGTCCGAAAGGGCTGAAGGTGTGGGGTATGCTTAATATGGATGCGTCGGTGGTAGGAAGGAACACAGTATCGTCCGCGATAGCCAAGACTTTCTGTTCTCCCATGCTCGATATGAAAATACCCTTGATGATGGTGTCTAGCCTCATCGCCTCCAGCGGCGGCTCCAGCGTTAGCATTTACAGAAGGGGCGACAGGGGGCACCCTTGCCTCACTGACCTGGTGATTCTGAAGCTGTCCGACAGTGAGTGGATCACCAGAACCTGGCTCCTGTGATTCTTATTCGGAATGCTTACCCACCTGGTGAAGCCTTCTCCAAAACTGCACCACCTCAAGACTCTCTGCAGGCCTTTTCCTGATCCAGAGATAGAAGGGAGGAGGGGCAGTTTTTCTTGTGGGTGTAAGTGATGGCGCCTCTAATGAAGTGTGCGTGTGTGAACACTGATCTGCTGGGCACTGCACGCTGTCGATTGGTGTGAATTAGTGTAGGCATGAAGGGTTTCAGATTGTTCGTTAGTGCTTTAGTCGGTATCTTGTAGTCCGTGTTGAGCAGAGAGATGTGTCTGTAGTTTTTCAGTTGCGTTCTGCCTAAGCCGTCTTTGTGTATGTGTGTGATGTAGGAGGTGTTGAAGCTGTCGAGAAATTCTTGTATATAGAAAGCTTCTTCGTAGACCACGAGGAGCAGGGGACTTAGCAGTGGAAAGAAGGACCTGTGGAATTCCACGGCAAGACCGTCGCTACCAGGACGTCTTTTGTTCTGCATCGCCTCTAGGGTGCATGTGATGTCGGCCATAGACAACGGGACGTCACGGCTGTCTCAGTCTGTGTCAGACAGGCTTTTGACGTGTTGTAAGAAAAAGTCCTGTGCGTGTTGGTCCGTGTTTTTGCTGTGAAGAGTGTGATGTAGTAGTTGTGGAAAGCCTGCGTGATTCGTGTTGGGTCTGTCTGCGTGTTTCCTTCTGTGTCTGTAATCTGTTGCATTTGTGTGCTCTCTTGAATGTTCTGCTCGATGGCTAGGTACTGTTTGCTATGGATCTTTTGTGCGACTGTTTAGAGTTTTATTCTTAGTAGTGCGCCTGTGTTGCTGGTGTTTCTAACTCTAGTGTGTGTAAGTGTGGGCTATTTCTGTCTGTCTGTTTTGTGAGGCGGATGGCGTTCTGCAGGATGCGTTCTTGTGCTAGTCTACGTCTGCGTATGACAGATGTCATTTTGTGTGTCCTACTTCTAGTAGTGTTTTTCAGCATCTCCAAGTATTCTATGAAGTTTTCTGTCGGTGTGTTATCAGTCTATATTTGTATGAGTTATGTGATATGTGCAGTAAAGGTGGTGTTGGCTAAACGTGTTGTGTTGAATTTCCAGTGTGGTGAGCGTTTGAAAGGCATGTGTGTGAACGTTGTGTGCGTCTATGTGTGTGGTGACTACTTTATGGTCCGTGTACGGGAGCGTTTCTGGTAGGTGTTTGCTCTGTATGATGTGATGGGTAGCTGGGTTGCATATTCTGTCTAATCGGGCTGATCTGTTGTGTACTTTATATTAGTGTGTTGTGTCGAGGCTGGTGTGGTGTTTCTGTTTGAATTTGTCTGTTAGGTTGAATGTGTCGATAATGTTCTCTAATGTTCCTAATTAATTTAAATCGTCCCTGTCGGACCACTTCACCTGCGCGTCTACCTTTCCACCTACCACATTATCTTTAGCCGGGAAGCAGTTGAAGTCTCCGGCAAAGACATTTTGTCCTCTGTATGCATGTGTGAATGTTTCATCTATGTTTTAGCAGAATGAGGGATGGTAGTCGTAGTTTGCTGGTGCGTGTATATTGACTTTTCTATATGTTTGCGTATTGTTTGCGATCTGTGCTATGCAAAGGCTTCCCTGTTCGTCTGTATGAGTATTTACGATTGCCCACTTGTCTGATGTCTGCAGTACGGCTGTACCTGACCCTGTCTTCATTATCGATGGGCTGTGCCTCGCGTGCTGCAACCCAAGCTGTGTGGTGATCTGCTGAAACAGGGTGTCTGGAAGCTTGCTTCTTGTAGGAAGATAAAGTCTGGTTTGCGTTTGTGAATGAATGTGATTATGTTGTGTTGTTTGGTGCGGATTCCTGAAATATTGAGGGTAAGTAAAACTAAATCAGCCATATTGCGAATTTACTATAAAATTTGAGAAGGAACTGGTGGGCTTAGCTTGGGGCCCTCGAGCCGAAGGCTCCTCGGGCAGTCTTCGGACAGTTCTTGCAGGTGCGTTGTTTTAGGTTTATTCTAAGTAGCTGGTGAAGTGTTTAAGTTCTTTTCCCTCTATGCTATTGTCTGGTTCTGCGATGATTAGAGGGACCAGCGGGGCTATGGATAACAGGTTTAGATAGTAGTTGTCTGCTGCATTCTTGGTGTTTACACTAGCGGTTTGCGTTGTCGGCTGGGTGCTGATTTCTGTAAGACCACATATGAGATTCATATCACTCTTTGTTGCAGCTAGCCATGATTTGTTCCCCTTTTTAGCCTGTTGGTCTCTTTATTTGTTAATGAACGTGTAATCTTGGTAATCTCTGTAATCCTAGTTTCAGCAAACGGGTCACCCCATCTTTGCTCCGCCCCTGTGCCAACGAAAAACACACAAAATGTTTATCACAGTCTCTTGTGGAAAGACTGACAGACTGTTGTCTCAGCATATGCACTAGCATACACGCATTAAAAGCATACGGTAGTTAACAGAAGTGCTAACATAGACAGTCTGACATTATAAATGAAGTTTATCATCGACGGTAGCAGAAGTTACAAACAGATCAGCAGTTGCACTCGCGATCAATTTTAATCACATAAGGGCACCACCAATATTGAGACGACAGAACACGGAACACGCGCAATTTTCTGAATCTACAGTTCACAACACCACGTTGGTCACAGTCGAAAAACATTCCAAATGAAATCCGCAGCTCATAGGGTCGCGTAGTGCACTCAAATCAGTAGCTGGGCGACGAAACTCCTTTCAGTCTACAAATGGATCAAATATGCAACGGCCACCGCAAAAATGTTCCTCGATGCGAAACAGTGACCGTGCCTAGAACATGTGATGCAAAGGGTTCTTCAGACCTGAGTTTATCATCAGGCATGCGCGAGCTCTTCAACCCGATTTGCTCTGATGTCTATACGGAAAAGTGTCAACTGGATATCTTCTTCTTCACTTCCTCTTTTACCACTGTGGGTGTCGAGAGATATCACTCGCCTTTATTCACCATCTTATTGCAGGAAGACAACTGTAAGACCACAATGGTCACACACGGAATAGTTTCACATTTCGGATCTATCCAAAACCAAAAACTGCTTTCAGTACTTTTAGGCAATGTAAAATACTCAAAATTTTAAAACTTTAAATGGTGGTCCAAAGGACGTTGTGTAAAGAAGCTAGCTCTCCTACGAAATACGTCTGGCCACATCAGATGGAGCTGAAACCAAGGAGGAAACACATGGAAGGAAAAGAAGTCAAGAAGTACACAGATAACAACAGGGTAGAGAACGAGCGGTCTGACTCGAAGGAAGAAAGCATCCAGCTCAGAGACGGCGCAAATACTAAAACGTGAGTCACGAAAGTGACGCAAATCGTTCGTTCGTTAGAAATTTAAAAATAAAAAAAAAATCTGACGCTTCAGCGTGCCACTGAAGCTTTGCTTTACTTGGGTCCTTCTTTTGTGCGGATTTGTGTTAAGGCGTGTAAGTGCGCCTTCTGTATGCCACTTGTTCTCCTTGCCATTATCGGTGTTGGAGCTGATTCCTTAGCAGGTTGTCAATCACGCAGTCACTGATTCCACCAGGGCTGCAACTTCTCGAAACAAACAAGCCAGCACTGAGCCACCAACCACAAGACATTTTTCAGGGACCACAATTTAACATCTTTTTGGTGCTTTTATTTTCACCTCCTACATGTGTAGGGGTGTGCTTTTTTCTTCTAATTTTTTTATCCAGTTTTCTTCTGGCCACACATGGTATAGCGATAGTTGGAATAAAACACAGGGTTTGTAAAAAAAAAAAAAAAAAAAAAAAAAAAAAAACTGGAGGGCAGGAATGCTCCGTAGGAATATATAGTAAGGTCGAAGGATTGAGAGAGATAGATAGCTTGCTAGGTAAGGGGAGAGAGAAGTGGGACCCCACGGTTGGGTTCCCCTGGCTGACATCATTTGGTGGGTCAGGCGGCTGGTCTGTTTGATGTTCGGCCATCTAGGTTAACGCTTGGGGCGTGTCCTCGCCTGTCGATCGGCTGATGAATTGCTTCACCATCTTGTGCATCTCCGGGCTGCTACTTGTTTTGAGACAAGCCCTGACGGTCATGGGTTTGCCATACGTTTCAAAGTGGTTCCTCAGTTCTGTTCGGTGTGCTTTGTATTTGCTGCACGATATCAGAAAGGGTTCCACAGTGTTGAGTTTCCAGCATTCCGTGCACATCGGGCTAATGGATCTCTCTTTCCAGATCCCAAGTCGCAGTTTCCACAGTGTGTTGATGGTTGGGATTTTTGTGGGTTCATTGACTTGGGATCTGTAGCTGGGTTCTATGAGTAGCCGGTGCGCGTGTCGCCCTTTTGTGCATATTGCCCACTGTTGTTTCCACACTGCACCGACGTACTCTTTAATGCGGGCCTTGCCCTCATTTTTGCCCAGTCCCACATCTAGGTAGTTGTTGGTGACGGTCCCTCTCTTTGCCGCCTGGTCCGCCCATTGGTTACCTGGGATACCTCTGTGGGCGGGTATCCAGGATAAAGTGAAGGGGCAGCCCATTCGGCAAAGCTCGGTGGTGATGGTAAGGATCCTTTCCTTGATGTCGGATCGGGAGCATTTCCCTAGTCCCTCCAGGGCCTTTACCGAAGCCATGGAGTCTGTGAAAATTATTAGTTTGGTCGGTGGGTCACCTGCCACTGCTTCTAGGGCTTCGGCGGTGCAGACCGCTGCGTGGGCAGGCAGTCTGAAGTGACGTTCCAGAGCCCGGTCGGGTATGACTATCCCGGCACGCAAATAACCCAGACCACAAATATAGGCGGAGACTGTTAGTAGCCTCGGCTTGCTAGCAGAAGTCAAGTGGCCTAACTTTTAATTTTTTTCTCAAAAGGAATCGGAATGGAATTCATTCACCACCCGTCCAAATTCGATGTAGATATGTGTTATGATGAATGATAATGAAAAAGGGGAATTCTGATTCTACAGAAATATTCTGGAATTACTTTTGTTTTCTTCTGCTAAAAACACGTTTACGTGATATACAATTTTATTCGTTTCATCGTGTCTCGTTCAGAACTTTTCAGTCACGGCAACGAAACAATTGTAGGATTTTTAAGTGTGATAGCAAATGCAACATGGCGATGTACAGTGTTGACATTCTGTGAAACGTGGCTGAGAATGTAAAGTAGAAACGATCAAAATTTTCACCCGGTATATATGCACTCTAATAACTGTCAACTTCTGTTTAACGAAACATTCCAATCCTTTCAATTTTTCCCATATTTTAGCTATACTTATAATAAATATTTCTTATGTTTTCGTTGAAGAAGCAGAGTGGTCAAATGTCAAAATAAATTTGTTTTGTTTTGTTTTTTTAAATTAAAAGTTATTTTTTCCTCACAAGTGACTTGTCAGCATTACATATTAACGTATTACAGTTAAGAATAAATTTTAAAGGCTTATTTTTTAATTTACTCAAGATTGGAAAACGAAGACCGGTTTGGTTTCTGAATTTTAGCCCATTTTTCCTTCAGTCAGTAAAATTATATATAATAAACAAATAAATATACAATCTTCTGGAATATTAAATTTTAGTATATTAGTATTACTGATCATAGATGATAATTTTATAATAATATTACTCCAAGAATATAGTCTGGTATACTGACTACTAGTACTATAGTACATTAGTACCAGCAGGCTTGTGAAAGTAAAAAAAAAACATTTGACGGTTTCTCAATTGCTGACAATTGCATCATGGCATGCGTTATTCAGTGATAGTTGTTGTCAACAGATTACTAAGACTATTTGCGTTTCTCTTAGTATGAGAAACCCAAAGATGAATGATCAAAGGACTGGATTCCACCCGTGAGTGTTATCTAATAATAGATTGCACATAAAAGGAAATGGAGAAATACTCAAATACTGAAATAGACCCAGTAGACTAAAGCTGTGTGACATATTCACAGCACAACAGAATGAATTCAATGACAATGGTAATAGTTCTCTGGAACTCTAAACAGGAGGAGAAAATTAGCCATCTTACTGTTCACAAGCTGTAAACTCTGGTTGTTCATCCACTTCTGTGCTGGCTGCCCATGTAATGGTAAAACTAAAGGCAGAAGAGAAATGCACAGACAGTGGTCTTCTGATCTTTCCCTTGTGCCTGTGATGAAATCATTCATCACCGCACCACATTTGAAATACAGTAGAACCTGTGCAGTTGATTTTATTCAGCCCCTCTACCCCCTAACAATGGGGGGGGGGGGGGCGTATATTTATATGCATACATTTAACATACTTTTGTTTCCCTGGGGGGGGGGGGGGTATATATATATGCATACATTTAACATACTTTTGTTTCCCTCAGAGTGTCTTGAAATGGATGAGTTGGCCCTTCAAGGTCTAGCCTCTCTGGCTATGGCCCCTGACTCTGAGTCTCAAACAGAGTGAGTATCTATAATCAACACTATGAAAAGTAGAAGCATATTGCAAGTAAAAAAATCAGTTGTTCATATTTTAGTTACACAATGTTTTACAGGCGATGCCTAAAGAGAATGATATCCACAATGAATAAAACATGGAAACATATTAACAGAAATATATTTTGCTGCCTATATTTACTACTTTTCAAGAGGGGGGTTGGGGCGCCTGTCGCAGGGACTATGCAGTCTTTGATTTTATTTTTGCCCACTGACAGAAAAAAAAATTTCCACTCTACAGAGGATTCAAACCTTTGTCTCCCATGGTCATAACTGTTCGGCCAGCCTCTCCTCACATAACAATTATAAGAGCTTTAATGGAAGCATCACATGTTGTTGGTTGGCACAGTTTCGTCCTTGCAAACAATAGTGTTATATTGTACTGTGAGACCGATAGCCAGTAGCGATGGCAGGTGGGACTAGCAAGAAAGAAACGGGAAAGTTTGACCTGTGTAGGTTTATGATAACATTGTTTGATGCATATAGGCAAAAGCATATCACTCATGTTGCTTTGTTTAGGTCTGAAACAGTTGTTAACTCTTTGGGATAGATACGGCTGAGAGGTTGTGTGCACTTTGTCATCACTTCATGCGCACACACACACACACACATACATACATACATGTTCACCGGCTGTAAGTTCCAGCGGAAATTCCTGGTTATTTTCCATTTGGACTTGCCAGGGCCTGACTTTTGCGGGTACATCCGTTTTACTGGCTTATTTATGTGCAGTTGGTTGCTCATTGATGCTTGAGCAGATGCACTGTGACCTTAAAGGAAGCTCCCAATTAGTCGACTTCTACAACATGCTTGTTTGAGATGCAGTAGGTCTGTTCTTGTTGACCTCACTATGGGGCCACTGAAACCCACACAGGGAATATATATATCAGCATGTTTGAGTGTAGTTAGTCATAGTTACTTACTTACTTAGTCTCTCCTCTTCTACCTTGGGGTGTAGAGGTTTACCAGAGAGATCACAAGTCATCTCTATCAGCAGTTTTCTTTCTGGCTTTGTTCCATTCCAGTCCTCTGTCAGTTAGGTACTGTCGGGATGTTTGTCTTCCCAGCGCACCCTGGGTCGTCCTGAAGGTCTGCTTCCCTGGTTCTTAGCCTCCCAGGCCTGCCATGGTGGCCGATTTTCTCACATTCTGCATACATGTCCAAACCATCGTAACTGGTTAGTCATAGTTAACTATATTAATGTTCTAACTTTGGCTATACATCAACAGGCTGTTCAGTTTGTAGAGCAGCTGAAGCAGTCAATAGATGGATGGAAAGTTTGTGCTCAGGGATTCACAAGTGGAAACTATCATCAGTGAGTTGTTTTAATTTACTAGTTATTTTAAATTAGTTTTGTTGTGCTTATTACTCTGAAACCAAATAGATAAGGATACTCAGAGGAAGCTTTAAGGGATGGAGGAGATAGAATCCAGATTGAATGGACCATTGAGGACGATTCCTTGGGTAAGCCTAAGACCAGAGTGTTTTGAGTCCGCTCTGCATTTATGGAAGCCTCTTTGGATGGTGGGGAATGCCCATGATCTGCCCCTGCCTTCTCTTGAGGGGCGACCTGTATACTCTACTCCTGGATGCCCTTGATGGGATCTCCAGTCTTGAGGGGAACCTCTACTAATTACAAAGCAGAGACAGTGGTGCTGGAGGAGGCAGTATGCATGTTAGTCAGTGAATACAGCTTTGAGTCAGAAGTTGTTACACTGACACTGACTCAGTACTGCAAAAGGAAGTGATAAGCAGCTACAGTTCAACAAGCTGAGATCTCTGCAATAGCAGATGGAACATCTAAGCAAACAGACTGCTCCTCCAGTGGATCCCAGGCCACATAGCAGTACATAAAAGAGCAGGCAACTGACATACAATTTTAAGTTATACAGAACATCTAGATGCAGGATATACCTATGAGGGAAAAACCAAGATCAAAAGTAAGTAAAGTAAAAGTCCCTTTTCCACACCTTTAGGCGCATTGGGAATATAGGGCTAGATCTTTATTTTTTTTACCAATTGGCACTTGGGAGGTGATGTGGTCAGCATCTTACCAGCCACCTTTACTTTCCAGGACTGCACCTGGTACCCACTCAAGGCTGGGTCGACCTGGGGGTCAAGGTCATTTAAAAAAAGTTTCGCTTTCTCAGGATGCGAACCCACGACATTCTGATCCGTTAGCAGGCGTCCAGCCGCCAACACCATGGTGACTCCCAAACCCAGATCAGGTCAGCCTTTAGAAAACCTATTAGGAACACAATCCTGAAGACCAGTTGTCCTCACACAAAAGCAACAGACCATTGTTTTCAGATGGCAAACTGGGCACACCAGACATGACAGCAATATCTACAAGAAATTTTGGTGCTTTATTAGTATCCTACCCCAAACCAGGGAAATCCACAGGTCACGGGACAGTTTAATATTTCAGGGGGTGGTGGATAGGCTGCATGCAGTCGTGGGACGTAGGTGGGTTGGGGTCAGGGCCAGTTCTAGATGTTTTGGGGTCGTGAAAAGCATCAGAAAGCCGGGAAACCCATTCTTACCACCCTCTAAAATGTTAGACTGTCCTGTCATCTGAGGTAGGATATCAATAAAGAACCGAAATTTCATATTGTGGACTCAGACTGTTGCTTTATGTGGACAGACATGACAAAAGAAACTAAAGTGCTTCAGATGTGCTCTCTGATTGCAGTAGAGGGGTCCTAGGTCTGTGCTCTTAACATTCCGGTTGAAACCTAACTGTGTGGATCAGTGGAAGACATGCATTGCACCAAAACATTTATAGAAGCCTGTGGCCCTCTTGTCTGAAAACCACTTGCAGGGAGAACAAAAATAGAAAAAGTGCGTATAAGTCTTGAAACTGTAGAGATGTGGTTTTACAGACAAATGATGAGAACATCAAGGACATAACAACAGACACAAATATCATGACGATGTCTAGAAAGAAGTTAACTCAGGAAGAGAACTGATTGCTTGCACCAGAAAGAGACAGTCTTTAGTTACATCATAAGAGGGGGAAAACTGTAGTATGTCATGACATCAAGAAACTTGCAGGAGGTTAGAGATGGGGAAACCAAGAAAGATGCTGGACAGTTTGTTATCAGGTCATGAAGAGTCATCGGTGCAGGAGACACAAGGGTGTGGAAAGATATGACTTACTGCATAAGCTGTTCTTCATTGGATAAATTAATTTTTGCCTGTTCTATTGTGTTCTTTTATTTTCTGTTGTCATCTTCCATCTGACATTATCCATTTGCCTAAATACATAAACTTCTGTACATGTCTCATGATAATGCTATTGACTTTAATTGTATAGTTAGGCACACTTTTTTTGTTATATTATCACTTCATCTTTTTTCCTTAGTCATGCTGAGGCCCATTCTTTTACCTTATACAACTGCTTAACTATAAATTTCTGTCTTTTTTCAGTGAGTATTTTATAATTATTTTGGGACATTGTTTCTTCTTTTTTATCTTTTGTTGTCTCACTGATAAACCAGGTTGTAGACTAGTGTTGTGGTTTTCTGTATGTGTCTTGCTGTTCTCAGGTAGCTTGGGGGATTTATGTTTTGCAGGTTTCAGAAACTCCATTTATCCATCTCGTTCTTAGTTTTCCTGTCGGCTTTCTCCCAGATGTTCTGCTATGAAAAATCTTATATGCATGTTAGCCGGCCTGGCTGCATTCTCACTAGATGGCTTATCTGAACTAGGCAGCCGGCATAAGGCAGTTATGCAATGGATACCATTCCACTGTGGAGTTTCCGGAAATAAAAGAGCTGATAGGAAGATGCAACTGAAGAACACTTGATATACCAGTCTCTTATCAACACAAGAAGAGAAAAATAAAATCAATCAGAAAGCCACCAAAACTGGCACAAGACGATTATCATATTATGGACAGACCAGAGCAAGTCATTATCCTACACCTTAGAACAGGGCACAGTCAACTTCACAGACACATGTACACTGTGGACTGGCACCTGAGATAACTGATCACATCATTTAAGACTGTCCCAAATACAACATTGCCAAGAGAGACACTGGTGGAAGGCAAACTTTACGGGTCGCTAAGTGAATTACAAAAGACAGTGAAGTTCATACTAGAAACAACATTGCAGATACAAATAATTTATTTCAAGCAAACGAGATAAGAAATACAATCTGGAAATAAAGTATACTATGCCCTTCACCATCTGCTAAAGTCAAAGTGTCTGTCTCGCAACAGCAAGATCAAAATATATAAAACGTTGATAAGACCAGTCGTTTTAAATGGCTCTGAAACGTGGAGCGCAACTAAAAGAGATGAAGCATTATTACAGGTTTTTGAAAACAGTCTTACGGCGAATCTCTGGACCCATCAAAGATGCAAACAGCAGTGAATGGAAAGTGAGAAGCAACAACAAAATTCATAATCTGTTTAAATCACGACTGATCACTGGCATCATGAGAGCTAATAGACTGAAATAGTTGGGACATACTGAAAGTATGTCAGATGACAGAGAAGTAAAAACTGTATACACGAGGGAGATGAATGGTCATAGACCACAAGGCAGACCAAGAAGACGATGGAGACATAATATCCAGTCAGACCTTCATTCAAACACTTGGTGTCATCAACTGGAAAGAGAAGGCCAACCAGAGAGATGAATGGACATGGGTGATATCTGCAGCAATGAACCTCAAGGGCTGGGAATGCTGAAAAAGAAGAAGAAGAACTAGATGGTTGAACCATTTCAATCTTTGTCAGTACAATTCAACACGGTCTTGTTCCACCCCACATTGATTGGCATAGAAATATTAGAAATGATGATTTTATTTTTATTTTTTTAGGGGCTTTTTCTTCTTTCTTTAATATTGATCTTTTCCTCCATTTCTGTTTTTTTAAACTCTGAATGATGTCTGTAATTGCATAATCTTTATTTTTGATGTTGATCTTTTCTGTTTTTTTTTCTGTTTGCAGGAATGATCATGTGAAATTCTTCTGCCTGCAGATTTGTGAGTTTTACACAAAAACCAGGTACAGTTGTTGTTTAAGCATTGTTCATCAAGTGAATACTGCTCTTATTCTGACAAACTAGAAGTACTTCAGCAGTTCAATGATTGTATTGTTTCTTTTATGTTTTACTCCCTCTGATATATTTCAATATTTTATGTTACCACAGTATGGTTAGTTCTTGTCCAAGCATGTTTCCCAACAAAATGGTTTATTGATTCTTCACATCCATGCTAAGACAGATTTGGTTAAAATTGACCTTGGCTCTTATGTTGACTCAGCCTATAAGTGGGTACCAGGCAATGTGCTGAGAAGCAAAGGCTGCCAGTGTGGTGCTGACCCCATCACCAGTTGAGTGCTGATTGATCTGTAAACATGTGTCTAGCATCACATGTCTGATGGGCCAGAAGTATAGAGAGGATCTGGTAGCTTTTACGTATATAAAAAATACAATAATAAAAGTGAGAACAGTAATTAATTTTGCTACAAAATCAGTATAATTCTGAACAGTTTTTGAGTAATAACAGCAATTTATTTAACATCAAACCTGAGGTTTGGAATTGTAGAATAGATATGGTGGCATTTGGTAAGACAATCTTGAGAAAATGTTACAGAAATGTCTACAGCTTGTGAACAGGTATTCACACCCTGACCATTTCATATAGTCATTCATGTCTTGGTAAGCTTTGTCCCCATGTGGGTTGAGGGGTCCAGTTTGGGGAAGGCGGGGGGAGAGACCAACAGCCTCCTTAACATGCATATTATAAAAGGTAACTAATAAGAGGTGTTTACATGGAAGTCAGAGTACATATGCTTGAGAGGTGAGGAACCAGCAGTCTGCATGTGGATAAGCTAAATCTTTAAAAAACTGTGCAAGCAAAACTCAAGTTTTGGAGCAAGAACTGGACAGACAACTTCTGCTGGTGAATGCAAAGACTGAGAGAAAAGCTATGCCTAAGCTATTAAAAAACAGTATTCGACACCACCTGTTATGTTATCTTTTAGTGTCAATTGTTGGGGGGGGGGGCGTATACTAAACCTGACATTCCACAAGGCGTTAACAGCTTTGTGTAGAAGGGATCATTGGAGAGAATACTCATAGCCTTCTTCTGGGAGATTCATGGAAATTCAGTGTGGTCTGCAGATAAAGGAGAAAACGTGCTCCACGGAGTCATTACAAGGGATGAACCATAGGCACCTCTTTTCCAGCCAGAAGCAAAACATGCTTGTTAGTGGAAACATCCGTCTTCACCTCCAACTGTTGCCAGTGTGGTTTTCGGGGTCCCATTGTGGAAGAAAACAAGAATAGACCCGCTGCCTCCCCAACAACATGTCGTAGGAGTCAACTAATTGGGGAAATCCTTTAAAGCCTGAAAGGCAAGGAACCACAAGTGTGCATACAAAAAGGTCAGATCTGTGAAAAGAATGTGCATGCAACACTCAGGTTCTGAAGCAAGACTGAAGTCCAGAGGTGGACGAACACACAGAACTTTCCGCCAGAGTTTACAGTGGTGAATGCGAAGAAGAAGAAGAAGACCTCCAGCTGTTTCTACTCACCAACTTTGTTTCAAGCTCTCCTCCTGTGGTTACAGAAGGCCCCATTTTGGGATAAAAAGGAAAAAAAAAAAAAACCATCAGTCCTCCTTAACTCATATTGTTAAATGTGACTTATTAGGGGTTTGCCCCCCCCCCCCCCCCCCCCCCCCCCAAGGTGGGTTTTAGGGCCCTAATGTGGTGGAAAAACAAGAATAGACCCACTGGCTGCCCAAGCATGTTGTAAGAGTAGACAAATTGGGGATGGGGGGGGGGGGGGGGGTGGCTTTCTTCAGAGTGCATCTGTCTGAGAGGCAAGAAACCGATAGTCTGCATATGAAAAAGCGAGCTAGATATATGAAACGGATGTGCTCACAACAGTCAAGTTTTGGAACAAGACTAAAGTCCAGAGGTGGAAGAACAACCAGAAGAAAAAAGAAGGGGTTTGCGGAAATTGGATGTGTTCTGCCAAAAAGCACAGATATTATATCCTAGCTACAAACCACAACACAACATGCTAACCACCGTTATTTTAAGAGTGAATGGAGAAGAAGGAAGAAGTTTGAAGTCCACTTTCAGGCTTTAATACCTCCCTGTGTGGGTCCGGGGGCCTATATAAGGGAAAACAAGAATAGACTCATTGCCTTCCCGAAAGCATGTTGTAAGAGTCGACTAATTGGGAGCTTTCTTAAAAGCTGGAGTGCATCTGCCTGAGAGGCAAGCAACCAGCAGTCTGCACACAAATAAGTCAGATCTGTTCAACCGATGCACACACAACATTCAGGCTCTGGAACAGGACTGCAGTCTAGAAGTAGATGAACAACCAGAACTTTCCATTAGAGTTCACAGATGTTGAACGCAAAGAAACAGAAGAAAGGTTTCAGTACATCCGACATGCAAGCAGTGTTGCAAGTCTAACTTAGCAAGAACCCTTTCACAGTGAGCTTGATCATCTACTAATTTCAGGTACCCACAAGCCTCTGCTGAAGATATCAGAATTATGCAAGCCTTTATCATGACTTCTTTAGAAATGGAGGTAATAAAATTACCTGGTATAATGTTTTCAAAGTTTTTATGTCTTAAGGTATGATTCCTAACTTGTATGGACATTTTTATTTATCTCATCTTTAGTTTGTTTTGACTTCTTTAGAAATGGAGGTAATAGCATTACCTGATTTAATTATTTTTAGAGTTTTCTACTTCGTATTAACATTTGATTTCCCAATTTGTATGTACATTTTAAAAATCTCATCTTGATCTGTACCTTGCGGTGCTGAGATGATGTATAAACCATGGGAGTATCTGTTCTTGGGCTTTATTGTTTTGTACATCATTGCTCATTGTGGTGTATTGTCTGTTGGCAGCCAAGATAATAGAGAAGAAAATAAAGTTACCAGAGGAATTTTTGTGTCTGAATTGCCATTGGTATTGCGGAAGGTGAAAAAAATAATAATAGACAAGTGAGGCACAAATGGAAACCAAACGTCAGCATTATAGGGACTCGCTTGAATATACTGTCCGGGAGTGCAGGAGTATGAGGGAATGAAAGAGTGGATTTTTGTGTCTAAAAAAGCAATAGCTGTTGTGGTGTGAACATAGAATTAGGAGTTTAATCTGATGAGGGGAACAGAATGAAGTGTGCAAACACACCACTCTCTGTTGTTTGAGTTGTGCAAAAATACCCCTCTCTGTGTGAGGTGTGCAGAAACACCACACTCTGTGCCAGGTGCGCAAAAACATCGCTCTCTGTGCTAGGTGTGCAAAAACACCACTCCCTGTGTGAGGTGTGCAAAAACACCACTGTCTGTGTCTGGTATGCAGAATCACCACTCTCTGTCAGGTGTGCAAAATATACCGCTCTCTGTTTGAGGTGGGCAGAAGCACCACCGAGTACTGTTTGGTAAAGAACATGAAAACTAGGCCCTTGTCTGTCTGCTGCGAACCTGTACCTTCATAAAAATATTATTGGACAGCTAAACATAGGCATCTCAAAAGATTTCTTCTGCCCTTGCAGTTTGTCACCTTTAGGACTGCAGTCTGCCGGGTTAACACCTCAGGGAGGAGAATCCTACAGGTAGAAATCCCGGTGAGCCCAGTTCAACCTTAAGGTTTTTTTAGGGGATCACCCAGCGGTTATAAAATAACCTTAAGTCCAGGAAGGATAGAGATTGACAAGACTTTTACCATGCAATAGAGCATCAGCACTCAACCATCTAATGCCAAGTTGTCCTATTTTTTGCTTTCACATGTAACTCACACTATGTTCTCTGCATTGTTTTAACTTTTTTATTCTCATCTTCAGATGCTTTTCAGTCTGCCTTTATTTCCTTGACCCTATGGGTTCCAGTGCAAGGATATTCTAGTTATATTGTTATCAGATTTTCTAAGTATGTATGCTATCTATTGTCAGCATCTTTCCCTCATCTCTTGATTATTTGTCAACGATCTACATTAGGGATTCTGTTATACCATTAACTCTGTCTATTCTTTGCAGGCACCAGTTAATGAATGTTTATAGTAATTAACAGCATTAACTAGAATAACAATTTATGCCTCTTAAGCTTTGTTATTTGGTTTATCACTTTAAACATTTGTACAAAAAATATATGTTAAAAAAAACAGACCCTTTTCTTTGTCTTCAGGCGTTTTGGGCACGTAGGGCTGGACCTATATTTTATAGCCCAATCGGCACTCAGCAGGTGATGTGGTCAGCATTGTGCCAGCTGCCTTTACTTTCAGGACTTTTACCTGGTTTCCATTTAAGGCTGGATCTACCTGGGAGCCAGTGTCATCCGTTTGGGTTTGAACCCAGGACTTTTGGATCCACAGATGAACGTCTAGCCGCTACACTATGCGGTTGCCTTAGAACACTTGTGGCAGTTAGTTGTTGTAACTGTTATTTCTTCAGTCCAATCCAGCTTCACAGAGCAAGCCATTCATCAGGAATAAACTGGCTCAGGTGATATCCCTAGCATTTGTGAGTGACTTCCCGCTGCGCTGGCCGCGATTCTTCTCTGACATAATGTCCACCTTGACCAGGGGACCCCTGGCTGTAGATATTTACCTCAGGGTGTTGATGGGCATCGACACAGAGGTTGTTGACCGAGACATTGCTCACAGTCCAGAGGTCAGTATACTGGTTTTTGGTCATAATTACTTACTTTGTCTTCTTTACGGTGACCGACTGGAAAGGTACCGCCAATATATTTGGAAGAAAGCGGGCTGCAGAAGAGCAGCACTCTGTCTTTCTGCCTGTCGGAGCTTTCCTCCCAGATCAGCTGTCAGCCAAGACGTATTTTCAACAGTGTTGATTTGAGGTTTGAACAACGAATCATCATGGCAGACGTGTAGCAACCCATAAGTGCTCCTGTCTTCTTCTAACTAAAGTCTTCGAGAAGCTTAGCACAGTGCACAGGCTCTGTAGCACCGGTGAGGATACTGAAATACTTATGGTAGATTTTTAACTCCCAATTATGTAGTGCCATTAGGATACTCTTTTCGATTTCCAAGTGCTGCCAAGGGATTTTTTATGTGCGCAACTGTTGCTCAGTATGTACAGAACCTCTTTATATGTTGCTCAGTATATACAGAACCTCTTCATATATTGCTCAGTATGAACAGAACCTCTTCATATATTGCTCACTGTGTACAGAACCTCTTCATATATTGCTCAGTATGTACAGAACCTCTTTATTTTTTGCTCAGTATATACAGAACCTCTTCATATATTGCTCAGTATGAACAGAACCTCTTCATATATTGCTCACTGTGTACAGAACCTCTTCATATATTGCTCAGCATGTACAGAACCTCTTCATATATTGCTCAGTATATACAGAACCTCTTCATATATATTCAGATTGACATCCAAAAGTGCAGGAAGAAGACGATTTAAGTTAGTGTTAAATGACAGTGATTGTGTTGTTCTTTTATCGGCCATGTTTCCTTCGAAGTCAGAATGCATCTGCCTGAGAGAGAGAGAAGGAACCAACAGTCTCACACATATAAGCCAGATCTGTCAAATGTATGTGCATACAACACTCAGGTCCTGGAATGACCAAAGTCCAGAAGTGAATGAACAACCAGTACTTTCTACTTGAACTTACAGCCGGTAAACGCAAAAAAAGAAGAAGATCAGCCATATAATATGTGCCATACTTGGACATCAGATTCCACCTTACGTAAAATGAACACCTTTGAGATGATAAACTGAAGAAAGCTTAACCATTACCAACTTAACCCTCCAAGACTGAGTGAGAAATGATGTTATCAGCAGATCCTGGGAACAACATGTACAAGTTTATGCACTAGACATTGTAAATTCAACAAACAAATAAATTAGGTATAAGACTGACAACTAAGCTTTTAGAAAAGCTAAGAGACATCAGGTTGGTATCCAAGTTTATAGCCCATAATAGATTCAGTAGTTCATGACTGAAGAAGAAGAAGAAGAATGGATTGCAGAATCCCCACAATGTTTAACAGCAAAAATGGAAATTTATGATGATGTAATATACGAATTGCTTTGTACTTAGGAAGCGCAGAGAAACAGTTTGATAAAGGACGCAATGAGAGAGCGCTGTGTCAATGATCTGGCAGACTCTTGGTATCAGATAATGGTAAACCAGATTAGATTTTCTTTGTTGTTTTTGTGACTTTATGAAACTTGCAGAAAACATTTTCTTGTGATTATTTTTTTTTTTTGACACTGATAATTGAAATATCCAGTACTTCATTCTTCTTTCTGAAGCAGTCTATCAAGCCCAGTTATGTGTACACCTGTTGTAACTCAAAACATGGCTGGTTTCAATAATTGTGTCAAATTTGCTTCCTGTAGATTGATGCCAGTATCAGCCTTACCCATGTGGGATGCAATTTTTCATTATTTCAAGCCCCACCCTGGCTTTTGCCGGGGACCCTAAATATAGCCGGGGTTTCCGGTACCTCTCCACGGGTGATCCTTCCTCATCGGCATGGTGGCACTGTGTGTCACCTGGTGTTTATCGCTTATGTGTTGTACTGGTGGGGTACAACTTACATACATACATACATACATAGACTGATGCCATCCAGGTTTAGGCTGCTGTATATCTGATGCCCTGTGTGGGTTCCTGGGCCTCATGTTGAGGGCAAAAAAGGAACAAACTCACTGCCTCCCCAGCAAGTATGTCATAAAAGGGGTCTAATGAAAGATTTTTGCCTTCGAAGTCAGAGCGCATCTGCCTGACTGGCAAGGAATCAACAGTCTGCGTACAAGTAAGCCAGATGTGTAAATTTAAAATGGATGTGCAGGCAAAATTCAAGTTCTAGAACAAAAGTGAAGCTCAGAAGTGGACGAAAAAACCAAAACTTTTCGCAGGAGTTTACAGCTAGTGAACGCTAAGAAGACGAAGAAGAAGAAATATGTCTACCTGTAGCTATGTTCTAGCCATGTACTTCTTCTTCTTAGCGTTCAATAGCTCCAGCGGAAAGTTCTGATTGTTCATCTGCTTATGGACTGGAGTCTTGGCTTACTTGTATCCAGACCCCCTCTGATGTGTTTCATAAGCTCAGTCTTCGCAGTAGCTACGGAGTTCGTGCATCCATGCTGAGATCTGATGCAGCAACATCTACAGAGTGTACAAAAGGAGAGGCCATGAAATCAAAAATAAAAGCACAGACTGGAATGAAGTAAACTGTAGGCTATATATGTTACTCCCTGTGTGATTTCCCGGCCCTATTTGGGGGAGAGGATGAGAACAGCTCCACTGCCCCCCCCCCACACCCCTAAAAAGCATGCCATAAAAGTCAACTAATTAGTGCTGTTGTCTTTAGAGTGCATCTGTATGAAAGGCAAGGAACCAATGGTCTGTGCACGTATAAGCCAGATCTGTGAACCGATGTGCACGCAAAACTCAAGTTTTGGAACACGATTAAACTTCAGAAGTTTTTGAGCAACCAGAACTTACCGCGCTAGTTTACAGCCAGTGAACACTAAGGCGAAGATTTGACACATAAAAATGGCAAAGCAGGAGGTGAAGATTTTTATGTCTGTTTTTTGTATCCTTGTTTAAATAACATTTTTGTATTCTGTCTCATTATCTTTGATAACAGACTGCATACGAGACCACACAACCTGACATAGTCATTATATGTTTGGAGATAGTTGGACGTTATGTTTCGTGGATGGACATAAGCTTCTTTGCAAATGAACGAATGGTGGCGCTGCTGCTAAAATTTCTAAGGCTGGAAACTTTGAGGGAGGCCGCTTGTGACTGTGTCCATGAGATCATCAGTAAAGGGATGGAACCGGTGGCAAAAACAGCTCTCATTGAGTCATTTATGAATGTCTTAGACTCTGCTGGCATTTTTAAATGTGAGGTAAATGAGCACTTTTTTTCTTCTGTGTTCGATTATGTGTGTTTAATTTAATTATGTTTTCCCCATGTGGGTTCCGGAGCCCTGTTATAGGGAAAACAAGAATAGACCCACTGCTTATCCAAAGGCATGTCATAAGAGTCAACTATTTGGGAGCTTCCTTCAAAGTCGGAGTGCAACTGCCTGAGAGGCAAGGAACAGCAGTCTGCATACAAATGAGTCAGATCTGTAAAACGGATGCCCACGCAACACTCGGGTTCATACACAAATGTATATTAAAGCTGCAGAGATGTGGTTTTTTTTTGTTAAAAGAACTATAAGAACATCAGGACTAGATTTTAAAAAATGTATTGAAGATGTCTTGAAAGAGATCATCTACTTTCTATGGCATGGAGGAAGGCCAAAACTGGAGTATGCGATAACAGTAGGGAAGTAAGACATAGGAAGATAAGGTAGTTTTGAAGCATACTATGAGAGAACATCATCTTGATGTAGCAGGTCTTTTGCAATTCATAATTTCTTTCCCAACTTGGGGATTTTCTGGCAGCAAAAGAGTTCTCTTACTGTTGTTAGTAAATATAATAGGTTCTGCTCCTTCTGAATTCTTGCACAGGTGCATACAATATCAGTGCTGGTAGCTCTGCTTCTCATGGATGAGTTACAATAGAAAGCTGGTAAAACCACTTTGGAGCCAACTAGAAGTGTTGATTTTTTGGCTTCTCATGGACAAGCCACAATAGCAAATCACTTTGGACCCAACTAGAAGTTAAGTGATGTAACTGCGTTGTTACTGCATAGCTGCGATATTTGTGCCTTTTGACCGACACAACTTCATTGAGCATTTGTTGACTGTGTCAACTTCCCGCTTATTAACTTGCTTGTTAAGGCTCTTATTTTTTACTTTTTAAAAAAAAAAGACAAAAAAAATTGTTCTGAAATGATGTTTATATTATCATCTTCTGTTTTTGCTGTCATGTGTTTTGAGAGGAATAGTTTATGGTTCGGCACTCTTTCTCTTTGTTTGGGGCTTTCTCAGCAGTGGTGAAGGGGGGGAGGGGACAGGGGGTTCTGCAGTGCATCCACCACTGTCTTGTTAGGAATATTACAGGGTGAGGCTCCAGTCTTTTCCACGATGCAACTCTCTTACCACTGTCTAAAATCTGTTTAAAATCTGTTATTCTGTGTAAATGTGCAATGTCTTCAGTGTCATCATCATCTTCTTGCTCTCATTCGTGCATCTTGGTTGGTTACTGGTGCTGCCTTCCATCAAGATGCCCAGAATTTCTGATCTTCTGATTCTCAGTGCATTTGGCATAAGGTGTTATTCCTACAATCTTTCTGATAGTATAACATCCCACACAGTCGGGGGGGGGGGGGGGGGGGGGGGGGGGGGGGGGGGGGGGGGGGGGGTGGGTTAGACTGGTGGCTTTTTCTATCACGTTTGGATTTTACATATGGTTTTGAAAGTTGTGGTCTGAATTTGTATTTAAAAAATACATTGATGAAATTTAATTGCTGTGTTCAAGATGAGTGTTTGGAAGGGCTGAATTTATATGCTGCAATACATCATCACCATCTTTATTTTACAGGACTTTTGGTGGGGAAGGTTTAGTCAAAAATGTCAAAATTAGAAGAAGGAAAAACAGTAGCTTTGTGCTGTATGGTTTCTTATAGAAATTGACAATCCCATTTATGGAAAGAAGATTATTATCTTTGTGTGAAGAAAGGCAAACTTTTGGAGACATGATCACCCACACACACACACACACACACACACACACACACACACAGAAAAAAAGAATTTCTGACAAGAGATTAGCAGTGGGTGAGCTGCTGGAAGCATTGGCAACTGGGCACCAAAGTTGATCCGTGATTCATTTTATTTAAGATTAATTTTTTTCATCTAAGACTGATAGACCTGCGCAGGGTAATACTAGTTCTATAATTTTTTTTTAGGACAACTGTGTTTGCTAATTCAGTTTCTGGTATCCATTTAACAAAACTGAGTCCGTCACAGAGCTCTATGTGTTAGATATTTTTTTTTAGCCTTCGCGGGCTGTAAACTCCAGTGGAAAGTTCTGGTAGTTTGTCTACTTTTTTTTTAGACTGGTCTTGTTACAGAAGTTTAGTTTTGCATGTATATTTGTTTACAGATCTGGTTTATTTTATGTAGATTGATAATTTTTCACCTTTCACGTATAAGCACTCTAACTTAGTGGACATTCCCTCAAATTCTTTTTTGACGTGCTTGTTAGGGAGTCAGTGGGTCTGTTGGTTCTTAATTTATAACGTACCCCAAACAGGAAATCTAGTGTCTTCTAATCCTAAACCTAACCCTAAACTTTACTGTAGAGAAATCGCGAGAAACTACAACCTGAACACCCTAGAATTTATTGGAAATGTCTCCTGTGACGTTGTCGTGACGTCAGGGGTAAGTTATAAATTAAGTACCGGTCTGTTCTCTCTTTTCCCCCCTTCCAGAATGCTGTGATGTCTGCTTTTTGCTCAGAACATCAGATTTAAGCAAACCTTGCCCAGAACATCAGATTTAAACAAACCTTGCCCAGAATATCAGATTTAAGCAAACCTTGCCCAGAACATAAGATTTAAGCAAACCTCTAATTAATTGTCTTTTACAACATGCTTGTTGGTGCTGAGGGTGGGGGTCTGGACCCCAGGACCCCCACGGCCAAGGTATTGTATAAAGTTCTGAAACTGTATTATGCCCTCTGTTTCAGGCTGTCAAAAAATGGTGCCAACAGAAGCTCGGATACAACACTGGCGGCTTTAGAAGCCAAGATTCCTTACATGCTTCGTTTCCTTGGTGATGAGGATGATGATGTGTCCATTGCTGTCATTGACTTTGCCACAGAATATATTGCTACAGTCAAAACTATGCCTGCTATGAGCGAAGTTCAGAAGAAACATATTGAGGTAAATCTTCTTCTTAGCATTCACTGGCTTTAAGCTTCAGCAGAAACCTTTGGTTGTTCACCAATGCCTGTGACTTTGGTCTTGTTCCAGATTTTATGCCTAGAACATCCATAGTAAGTTCTAAATTTGGGGCTACTTCTGTGACAGATTGTTCAAGGACGGCTCAGCCACACCAGATAGTGACCCCAGAGTCAATTGAGCAACAGTTTTGAAACTTCCTATTCCACTCATTCACTTGTTGGACTGACAGGAATGCCTCACCAGATTAGACCTTTATTTGGCAATGAATTTCTGTAGGTTCCCCCATCACTGATTTAGAAGAAAAAAAAGGATTATAGATTGCTGGTCATTGTGTGGTGAATTTAATCACATGCATGATAAAAAGTTAAGACCATTGTGATATGTATAAGGAGATCCTCCTTACCTCACCTCATCTTGCTGTTTTTACAGATCCTCAGGCAAAACACCTGTCATATATCCTCTCCTGCGATATGGATAATGGTTCGTATGGGCCTAGACAAAGCTGACAGATCTCGGAGTGGGTGGCCTCAAGAGATGCAGTGTCCAGAAACCCTCTTGTTCTCATCAGCCCACCCCTAATGCATCTTACCGTGTGACAAGGTTCATAAGTCTGACTATAAAATGTCCCACTGTGCGACCGTCAAGGTTCCAGTGTTTTCTACCGTTGGCCACACTCATCTGAGTCTCAGGACCAAACAATGAAGCCATGCGTGGTGCATGCTTTTCCAGTACAGGTGTCCTGATGCAACAACGTTAAAGGCGTTTAACATGCTGGAGGAGATTGTGCGCATTTACGAGTTCATCAAAGTCTCAGAAACTGCTGGCTGCTCCCGCAGACAAGGTTCAAATATCTGCTAACATTGGCTCCCACTTGTCAGAGTGTCAGGACCTGAAGGGGAGACCATGCCCGATGCATGCTATTCTGATACTGCTATGCTGAATATCCCCGTGCAATAACGTTAAAAGCTGTCTGGCGTGCTAAAGGAGATTCTGCCTATTTGTGTAGTTATCAAAGTCCCAGACATGCAGGCTGCTCCTGTTGATCTTTGAAGGGCACAGCCTGTGATGAGGAAGAAGCTTAACATACGGATGTGAGGTTATACAGTCATGTGCAGGACGTGACGATTCCTTGGATGAGCCCAGAACCAAAGTGTCATGTGTCAGCTGTGCAATATGGAAATCTTCTTGGATGGCAGGAAATGCCCATGATCTGCCCTTGCCTTCCCTTAAGAGCTGACTAACTAGTCTGCACGCAATTGCCCTGTAGATAAAGGGACAGAGAGGACACCTCACAAATAATGCTGTGTCATGTCCCACAAAACTAACCAGAAAGGAAAACCTGATTAGAAAAAAGAAAAAGAAATACCAGATGAGGTCATATGTGTCAGCCGAAAGGATCAGATTTCACGGCTCTACTGTAAACAGGCACAACATAGCTATATCACTCAGATTAATGATGAAGAAAAAGAAGAATGCTGTTCCACTTTGGTTCAGATCAAAAATGGTATGGCGATCTATAAACTGCCATTATGACATCGCCATGTTTGTCAGCACTATGAATGTAATGTGCTTAACACTCTTGACATCCTTAAAAACAGAATTGACAGGTTATAAGACAGTGGATGGCATGGTTATTTAAAATTCTGTCACATTTTTTTAGATTTTCATTGAAAGCCTTCTTGTAATTGTATGAAATTTCGTCAGTTTTTTAAACAGTGTAAATATAACTGTGGGTACATTGAGTTTATCTTGTTTGTTTTTCTTCTCTCCAGGGTCTTCTGTTCACCATAATAAAAAAGTTGAAATATGATGAATCTTATAACTTTGAGAAAGAGGTAAATGCTTTTATTTCAATGCCTTGTAAGAAGCCATTTGCATGTTTTCAAAAGTTAACGCCTGCAAGTGTTTCATATATATGTATTTTTCTAATACTTGTAGACAATTGAAATTGTTAACCTGTGCCTACGTGGGTGTAGAAAAGGAATTAAATTGTATAGTAGTTGAGTTGAGCACTCGGGGCATTCACTTGCATGCTCCATCATCATCTTCAGCAGCCAGGGCAGAGTTGCAATACTGACGGAACAGGTCACAATCTGGTTATATGTCCGTCTTGCCTTTCCTCTTGAGTGTAGTGACCCAGCCAGACCCTCTGGTTACACCCAGATGCCTCCTTCTCTTCAGGCCATAGTCATCTTGTATCTCTACTGATTCTGTTGCTTGTTCCCAAAAGGCCTTGACCAATTGTATGGTAGTTTAGAATCACTAATGGGTAGGACATATATTTAGATAACCTTATAATTGGAATGCTATTACACTGGAGGCCACAATAGCAAAGAAGTAAAAGGGAAAATATGTAGAATAGAATTAAAGGTAATAAGATGAGGACCTGAGGTACACGGTAGCAGAGAATATGACAATATGAGTTGATTTATGGTAATTTCCTCCATGGGATAAAGGAACGGACGAACGAACAAACAAACTTTATTTTCAAAGGCTCACAAATTGGGCACGCAGGCCCATTTTACATTTGGCCCTTCCAATTACCCATCTTTCCCATAGCAATTGTATTTTACTAATAAAGCATGTTATGATCATATGGATGGAAGAAGAGATAGTCTTGCATGCAGACAAAGGCATACAGAAAGAGGACCAATGAGTGATTTTGTAAAAGAAAAAACAAAAACAAAAAAAAAGAAGTTTTAAGTAGGTGAGTTTTAAATCTGGATGTCTAGTTTCACACAGTTATTGTCATAGATTTAGGTTGTTGTTGTTATTGTTCACTGGCTGTGAACTGCAGCAAAATATTCTGGTTGTTCATCCACTCCTAGACTTTGGTCTTGTTCCAGAACTTGGGTTGTGTGTGCACCTCCATTTTGCAGATCTTACTTACTTGTATGAAGACTGTTCCTTGACTCCCAGATGCAATCCAGCTTCAAAGAAAACATCACTTATTAATTAGGTTAAGGAATAAATGCAGTTTACATACAAGTGCATGTGCACACAATTGACAAAGAAGTCTGGCTTATTTTGGCAAATTTAGCAATTAAGAAACCAGTGACAGGAAAAAATATTGTAAGGTGATGTTGAATTCTTCTTCTGCGTTCGTCCGAAGATGTAATTGCGTTGTGTCCGTTTACAGCATGGCTGCGATATTTGCACCTTTTGGCCAACACATCCAACTTCTGCGGGCATTTGTTGACCGGGTTAGCCTTCCCGGTTAGTTTCTGCGGACATGGCAGTCTCATTGTTGTGTGGTCATCTTTATTTCCCAGGTCGCAGGTGGTGCCACAATCAGGCTTGTCCAGAGAGGCCACATAATGCTGATCAGCCCTCAAGAGAAGGCAGGGACAGAACATGAGCATTCCCTGCCATCCAAGGAGGCTTGCACAAATGCAGAGCTAATACATGGTGCTCTGGTACTGGGCTCACCCAAGGAATCGTCACATCCTGCTAGTGGCTGTTTAACCTCACTTCCATATATTGAACATCTCATACATCATGGGCTATCTCTTTTGTAGCCGACAGTATGCAGCCTGCAGACCTGGGATTTTATTTACCTACACCACAAAATGAGTACTTTGCTTCTTTTGCATGTTAGTGATGTTGAATTGACATGAGTGATTTAGCTGTTATTTTATTTAGCTGCCCCCTGTGGGTTCTGGGGCCCCATTGTTGGGAAAACAAGAATAGACCCACTGCCTTCCCAACAAGCTTGTCGTAGGAGACGACTAATTGGGGATTCCTTTAAAGTCGGAGTTCATCTGCCCGAGTGGTAAGGAACAACCAGCACACAAGCCAGTAAAAGACATTTACACCCAAAACTCAGACCCTGGCAACAAAGCACAAGTCCGGATGGACAAACAAACAGGATTTTTTGCCGGAGTTTATAGCAGGTGAATGCAAAGAGGGTTTATTTAGCCTCTAGCAAAGCAAGTGGAAATAAGACTTTTTTTGTTAAGTAATAATTTAGTGATCAATGTCTGCATAACTCTTTTGTCTGGTACATATTAGGGTGAAGAGGAAGCGGAATTTCAGGAGTACAGGAAACAGGCACGGGTGATTTTCAATAATATTGCTAGTCTGGTATGTATTTTTCCTCTGCCATTTTGTTTAATAGTAGTTTTAATTAAAAGTTAATACCCCATTACATATAATCATTACATATCCTCAAAACTTTGAGTGCCTGCATTTAACATGTAGCTTAATATGACTGTGAATTTTATGCTGTCTTGCAGTCATTAAGGGAGAATAAAGAGGATTTTGAGCTGAAAAGCTATAGAAAATATCTCAGAATACCATTAAGGGAGAATAAAGAGGGTTTTGAGCTGAAAAGCTGTAGAAAATATCTCAGAATACCATGGATCTAGAAGAAAAGAATACTGACATCCTAAAAGATCTGAAAATCAAGAAAGATTGGCTAGTAAACAGCTTATCAAGTGTCACAGCGGATTGGAACGAATAGTAGCAGAAGGCACAGTGTCAGGAAAGAGGGACAAGGGTCGACCAGCTAGTAAACAGCTTATCAAGTGTCACAGCGGATTGGAACGAATAGTAGCACAAGGCACAGTGTCAGGAAAGAGGGACAAGGGTCGACCAGCTAGTAAACAGCTTATCAAGTGTCACAGCGGATTGGAACGAATAGTAGCACAAGGCACAGTGTCAGGAAAGAGGGACAAGGGTCGACCAGCTAGTAAACAGCATATCAAGTGTCACAGCGGATTGGAACGAATAATAGCAGAAGGCACAGTGTCAGGAAAGAGGGACAAGGGTCGACCAGCTAGTAAACAGCTTATCAAGTGTCACAGCGGATTGGAACGAATAATAGCAGAAGGCACAGTGTCAGGAAAGAGGGACAAGGGTCGACCAGCTAGTAAACAGCTTATCAAGTGTCACAGCGTATTGGAACGAATAGTAGCAGAAGGCACAGTGCCAGGGAAGAGGGACAAGGGTCGACCAGTGCGGTGTTGGGCATAGGATGCAAGTGAAACCTTGGGTAGCAAAGTGCACTAAGTTGGAGAGCTGGTGAAAGACCGAGCTTTTATCAGGTGGACTGTGCTGAGAAGGACATTCTTATAAAGTACCTGCAACGTGATGATGACATGGTTCAGCTGGCCTTTACAAGATGTCCTGCCCATTAAGGTCTGCTGATGGCCTCCTTGTCCCATGCCACTTTCCCCTACTTCATGGTCTCTAATGCCCAGTGTTCATTGTATGATGGTCAGCCCATGCTCTTTCTTTCAGTCATGTCTTCTATTACTATTCTTTTAAAACCATCTTAGCGTTCAGTTTAATATCATTAAAGCATATCAGTATGAAAGATGTGATGCTGTTTGTAAGCTAATTGTCCAATTCTTTCAAAGGCATAGCTCACAATACGTGGGAAAGCTCAGCCTACGGATATAGGGTTAAGCAGACATATGATGGATATGATGATTCCTAGGGTGAGCCAAGTAGCTGAGCACCATGTGCCAGTTCTGCATTTATAAAAGCTTTTGGCTATCTTCTGAATAACGGTCCCAAATTATCGAGGCCGAAAATATGCCCTAACAGGGCCTCAGTCACGTGCCAATTGCGGACTTCCGCCACCGCCGAGAGTATCTCCCACGCCGCTTCGCGGAGTGTGGTTTGGGGCTTAACTAGATGGCTGGGACTCACGAGCAAATAAACTGGAGGAAGCGCAGGAGATGCGGTAGCTGTTTCTCGTGAGTCCCGTGTAGTGGCGTGATAGGTACTCTTGGCCGTGGCGGTAGTCGCCGGAAGTGCTAAATTTAGGTCGCCGGAAGTCCGCAATTGACACTTTAATTTTAACCCTTTCGCTGCTATGGACGAGATAACTCGTCTGCCCGGCAGACTGCTAAAGACGAGATAACTCGGCTGCAATTTTCTGTGCCCTCACTGCTAAGGACGAGATATCTCGTTCTGGACATTTTTTTTACAGATTGCCAAGGACAGTAATTCTTAGGGGTGAAATAGCAATACACATTAACTTAATCTGATCAAACTGACCCGTTTACATACAATTAAAACCCTTATCGAGTGAGTTTAGGCGTATTTAGATGCATTTCACGTTATCCTGTTTCTTTGTTACCATAGAAGCATTGTCGGTGATCGGTAATTTTTTTGCCCTGAAATATATTTCTGGTTTTGCGTTAGTCTAATTTTTTTTAAAAAATACAAAATAACAAGAACATTTGTTTAAATAAAGAAGAATTAATTGAGTTTCTTTCAAGGAGTAGTAGTAAGGATCACTTTGAAACGTGTGAGTTATATGAGCTGGGTTATCTTCGCGGCACGCCGGCGGACACGTGTACTTCTGGCTGTGAGCAAGACTGACCAGTGACCATATGACCTAGCTATCTACATCAATTGGATTTGAAACGGATCCAAAATAATCACACAAAAAAAGATATAGTCACGTACTGACGTGATGATTAATATTAATGTTAATTATATACTATACAACTGACATAAATGTGTTTGTCTATTAAAGTGTACAATACTGGTCTTTTTTTCAGTTCATAGTTTCATGTGAATTTCTAGTGTAGTTGGTATCACGTCTGCCTTACAATCGAAAGGTCCAGCGTTCAACCCCTACGAGCCGTTTTTTTTTTTTAAATTAATTATTTTAAATGCAAATTTTAAATTTAAGCTGTTAGCATTTTCGGCAACAGATAACCAAAGAAATAATTAATTAAACATCCTGTCACGTGCGTTCAGGTGGATTTAGATGCTTTACACGTTATGTGAAGCGTGGTTGGTGTACTGTGCACATTCATTATATAAAGTTGTTGTGGGGAAAAACACACCTGTTGCCGAATTTCACTTAATGTTAGAAAGAGAAATTCTACATAAATATTGCAAGGAAAAGAGAAAAAGTGTAGGAGGACAAAAAAGTGAAGATCTGCCACTTCGTTTAGTACAAAGGCATTCCCCTTCAATAATAGAGTCCGTAACATCGCAGAAAAAATTCCCAACCAGAAAGTATGTGGTATGCGCAAAAAGCAAAAAACGACGGAAACCCAGATACATGTGCAAGGAATGTGATTTGGCATTGTGTGTCGGATATTGTTTTGAAATATTTCACACACAAAGATATTATTAATAATAATAAAAACCATGTATTTGCTTACTAAAGTGTTTTGTGTTTGCTTTGTAAGTTTGTAGTGTTTTCTTTTTGTTAATGAGTTTTCACGGCGTAGTAATAGCGCGTCTGACTTGTCAGCGCAGTTCAACCACACGCCTTCAACGATTTTTTATTTTAGGTGTACAATTTTTACCCTGTGCCGTAAGCGCGTCTTCTGCTTTTGAAGGAAAAAACGGTATTCAGCACAGGGGGAAAGATTAGCTCTCGCCTGGCTTAGCACAGTGGTTACGTTGGCTGGCGGAGGGCGCAGCAGCGAAAGGGTTAAGATTTTTTAGATGTCATTGTCTTTCTGCTCTCCCCCCCCCACCCCCATGGTATTCTATAAATTGTTCTTAAACATATAAGCTTGAAAATTTAAATGTTTTAAATCTTATAATTTCAACAAGACTTATTAAACTACCTTTTCCGAACAATTCAAGTTTTAAAACTTGTATTTATGTTTCTTTATTATGTATTTGCAAGCCTTATAAAAAACTTAGTTCTGTACAGGCTGTGGTGATTTGTGAATATTTGAAACTCTTTATCGTCTAGGATGCTCAGATGATTCTGCTGCGTGTCCATGAGCTGGTGTCTCAGACTTTGTCACGCTGGCAGTCCCTTGACTATCGCGACGTGGAGGTGGCCATTACACTGATGTACAGTTTAGGAGAAGCCATACCTGTAAGTGAGCTGAGTTTAACCCTATTGAAACAGGAAACTAATAGATTGGTTTTGCCATCTGTTTAAATTCCTGAGCATCTTTATTTTGGTTTCATTGCATTGTCAAATCATGAGCCCTCTTGTGACCATCCTCTTGATGATTCATTTCCTTTATTTAATTCCTGACTTTTTCACTTTTAACTGTCGATGCTGTTCAAGGTAACCGTGACTTTGACCTTTTATTCATAGCTTCTTGGACTCTTCTGTGTCACAGGGGTGTGCGAGTCTATTCCGTGGGACATCTGTCTGTGTCGAGCGAACTGCATGCAACACCGAAGCACATCGGTCAATGCGGTGTTGCTCACAGAGCGGTGCAGTGACCAACGACACGCTGCAGCATCGCACATCGCCAGTAGTGTCACCAAATAATCTAACAATAGCTCACACCACTATGCCCATGAGCAATCCAATTATTTATTAATGAAACGGCACGCAGTGCGTAACCTAATTTAAATGTCACTGTTACCGTGAACAGCACCAAAGTTTCTTGCCAAATGATAAAATGGAGTAAAAAAATCCAGTGCAGCAGATACACTTGTCACTTTTATTTCTACATTTATTGTGGCTTAATGTGACAGACTTTGCAGGTGGCTTGACAGACTTGGCAGGTGGCTTGACAGGCTTGGCAGGTGCCTTGACAGACTTGGCAGGTGGCTTGACAGACTTGGCAAGTGGCTTGGCAGGTGGCTTGACAGACTTGGCAGGTGGCTTGACAGACTTGGCAGGTGGCTTGACAGACTTGGCAGGAGGCTTGACAGACTTGGCAGGTGGCTTGACAGACTTTGCAGGTGGCTTGACAGACTTGGCAGGTGGCTTGACAGACTTGGCAGGAGGCTTGACAGACTTGGCAGGAGGCTTGACAGACTTGGCAGGTGGCTTGACAGACTTAACAGGTGGCTTGACAGACTTGGCAGATGGCTTGACAGACTTGGCAGGAGGCTTGACAGACTTGGCAGGTGGCTTGACAGACTTGGCAGGTGGCTTGACAGACTTGGCAGGTGGCTTGACAGACTTGGCAGGTGGCTTGACAGACTTGACAGGTGGCTTGACAGACTTGGCAGGTGGCTTGACAGACTTGGCAGCTGGCTTGACAGACTTGGCAGGTGGCTTGACAGACTTGGCTGGTGGCTTGACAGACTTGGCTGGTGGCTTGAGAGACTTGGCAGGTGGCTTGCCATTCTTAGAGAGTGACTGAGTCATGAAATAAAACCCTGTGCATTGTCAATCCTCTCAGCACCAGATGGACAGATAATGCTACATCAGATTAAAACCTAGCTGGAATTTTGTCATCAATGCGAAGTGAGATATCACAAAGATAAGATGATTATGATAATCATGACTGAATCTCAGTTGGAGTTACAACCTGGAGCCGTCAGACTTAAGCATTCCGCTAAGGGCACTAGACATTTGATATATCACACAGAATTGATGTAATCATTCATTTTATGGATGGGGGGAGGAGGGGGGGGGTTGGGCATTTAAACAAACAAAAAATTTAGATCCATTGACCCCTTAGTAAGCACCATTGTCCCCTTAGTAAGCACCATTGTCCCCCTAGTAAGCACCATTGTCCCCCTAGTAAGCACCATTGTCCCCTTAGTAAGTACCATTGTCCCCTTAGTAAGCACCATTGTCCCCCTAGTAAGCACCATTGTCCCCCTAGTAAGCACCATTGTCCCCCTAGTAAGCACCATTGTCCCCCACCAGTAAGCACCATTGTCCCCTTAGTAAGTACCATTGTCCCCTTAGTAAGCACCATTGTCCCCCTAGTAAGCACCATTGTCCCCTTAGTAAGCACCATTGTCCCCTTAGTAAGTACCATTGTCCCCTTAGTAAGCACCATTGTCCCCCTAGTAAGCACCATTGTCCCCTTAGTAAGCACGTCATGAAAGATAACTCATTGACTGATTGCTGAGATTGGATATGTTGGGCTAAAAAGAAAAAAGTATTGTAGCCTATTTATTGACTCTTTCCCTTTGACAGCTTATGAATGTGAGTCATTAACTCTTATTCAGTCTTTAAAGAAAGAAATCAGAGCTTTTGAACTGAAATGTTACAGAAAAATTCTTGGAATACCGTGGACCAAGAAGAAGAAAACACTGACGTCCTACATGCTCTGTACATAGAGCACAAAAAGGTGACACTCTGTCCTGCAGCTGAGGTGTTTTGGCCATGTTAAGTGTCATGATGGCCTGTTGAGAATGGTGATGGAATTGCAGTTTTTTGGAAAAACGAGGCGGAGGTTGACCTCCACGAATGTGGTTACAAGACATTGAAGATGCATTGGCTGTAAAAGCATATAGTGCTGGAGAATTGGCTAGCGAAAGAGACTTTCAGGTTTGCTGTGGTGAGAGCGAGGTTCTGTAAAGGACCTGTTGATTGTTGATGAGAGCTGTAAACTACAATACAGTGTGCCAGTCACAGAGAGCTATAAACTACAATACAGTGTGCCAGTCACAGAGAGCTGTAAACTACAGTACTGTGTGCCAGTCACAGAGAGCTATAAACTACAATAGTGTGTGCCAGTCACAGAGAGCTATAAACTACAATACAGTATGCCAGTCACAGAGAGCTATAAACTACAATACTGTGTGCCAGTCACAGAGAGCTATAAACTACAATACAGTGTGCCAGTCACAGAGAGCTATAAACTACAATACAGTATGCCATTCACAGAGAGCTATAAACTACAATACAGTATGCCATTCACAGAGAGCTATAAACTACAATACAGTGTGCCAGTCACAGAGAGCTATAAACTACAATACAGTATGCCAGTCACAGAGAGCTATAAACTACAATACAGTGTGTCAGTCACAGAGAGCTATAAACTACAATACAGTATGCCAGTAACAGAGAGCTATAAACTACAATACAGTGTGCCAGTCACAGAGAGCTATAAACTACAATACAGTGTGCCAGTCACAGAGAGCTATAAACTACAATTCAGTGTGACAGTCACAGAGAGCTATAAACTACAATACAGTGTGCCAGTCACTGAGAGCTATAAACTACAATACAATGTGCCAGTCACAGAGAGCTATAAACCACAATACAATGTGCCAGTCAATGAGAGCTATAAACTACAATACAGTGTGTCAGTCACAGAGAGCTATTAACTTCAATACTGTGTGCCAGTCACTGAGAGCTATAAACCACAATACAATGTGCCAGTCACTGAGAGCTATAAACCACAATACAATGTGCCAGTCACTGAGAGCTATAAACTACAATACAGTGTGCCAGTCACTGAGAGCTATAAACTACAATACAGTGTGTCAGTCACAGAGAGCTATAAACTACAATACAGTATGCCAGTCACAGAGAGCTATAAACTACAATACAGTGTGTCAGTCACTTTTTTGAGGGGGAATTTGAATTTAGAAGAACACCAATTATATGCAGTCATATTTATGCACTTTTTTTTATAGTTTCAAGATGTCATTCTATTGTAATTCACTGAAATCAATTTGTGCTGAAATTATAGAATATGAGATTGATGTTATTCTCCATTTGCTTTCATATGCAGGCATCTCATGGACAGCATTTCAGTGGTAATTTAGAAAAGGCTTCAGCTCTCCAGGACATGATGAGACTTGTAAGTGACTGCTGCTGGAGAGAGAGATTAGTTTTTTATCTGTTGTTGTTATCCTCGTGTTGCTGTTGTGGTGTCTAGTATTGTTAGTCAATTATTATTCTTGTAAATATGGAGGAGTGCACTTTGAGGATACTAGTCGTGCTTATTCTATGAAGCTTCTTCTTTAGCATTCTGAGCTCTTGAGATTCATTGCTGCAGATATCACCCGCCTCCATTCATCTCTCTGGTTGGCCTTCTCTTTCCAGTTGGTGACACACCAAGTGTTTGCAGGTCTGTCTGGATATTATCTCTCCATCGTCTTCTTGGTCTGCCTCGTGGTCTACGACCATTCATCTCCCTCGTGTATACAGTTTTTAATTCTGTCATCTGACGTTCTTTCACTATGCCCTAACCATTTCAGTCTGTTAGCTCTCATGATGCCAACTATCAGTGGTGATTTAAACAAATTATGAATTTCGTTGTTGCTTCTCACTCTTCATTCACCGCTGTTTGCATCTTTGATGCGTGCAAAGATTTGTCGTAAGACTCCGTTTTCGAAAACCTGTAATAGGGCTTCATCTCTTTTATGTTTTGCTGCAAGTTTTTTTTTCTAGGAAGCTAGTCTTACTTATTCTAGGTAGGAAGCTAGTCTTACTTATTCTAGGTAGGAAGCTAGTCTTACTTATTCTAGGAAGGAAGCTAGTCTTACTTATTCTAGGAAGCTAGTCTTACTTATTCTAGGAAGCTAGTCTTACTTATTCTAGGAAGGAAGCTAGTCTTACTTATTCTAGGAAGCTAGTCTTACTTATTGTAGGAAGGAAGCTAGTCTTACTTATTCTAGGAAGGAAGCTAGTCTTACTTATTCTAGGAAGGAAGCTAGTCTTACTTATTCTAGGAAGGAAGCCTTACTTTTTCTTGGAAGCTAATCTTACTTATTCTAGGAAGCTAATTACTTATTCTAGGAAGCTAGTCTTACTTTTTCTAGAAGCAAGTCTTACTTTTTCTAGGAAGCTAGTCTTACTTATTCTAGGAAGCTAATCTTACTTATTATAGGAAGCTAGTCTTACTTTTTCTAGGAAGCTAGTCTTACTTTTTCTAGGAAGCTAGTCTTACTTTTTCTAGGAAGGAAGCAAGTCTTACTTTTTTCTAGGAAGCTAATCTTACTTATTCTAGGAAGCAAGTCTGACTTATTCCAGGAAGGTAGCAAGTCTTACTTTTTCTAGGAAGGAAGCAAGTCTTAATTTTTCTAGGAAGGAAGCAAGTCTTACTTTTTCTAGGAAGGAAGCAAGTTTTAATTTTTCTAGGAAGCTAGTCTTACTTATTCTAGGAAGCTAGTCTTACTTTTTCTAGGAAGCTAGTCTTACTTTTTCTAGGAAGCTAGTCTTACTTTTTCTAGGAAGGAAGCAAGTCTTAATTTTTCTAGGAAGGAAGCAAGTCTTACTTTTTCTAGGAAGGAAGCAAGTTTTAATTTTTCTAGGAAGCTAGTCTTACTTATTCTAGGAAGCTAGTCTTACTTTTTCTAGGAAGAGGAAATGCGACCTGAAAGCATAACTGTGTAGCATGCTTTGTTTCAAAAGTTCTGGCGTTAGTTTCCGTTTCAGGTAAATATTGCAGGGGGAAAGAGGGATCATGCTGCATAGGCATTACATGCTTTCTTCAATACTGCTCAGGCTTTAAGCTATGTGGGTGAGGCTGTTACTTTAGGCTGATTCATGTTTCTTCTTATAGCATGGTATTATAACACTGTTTGCTGGAAAGATGGAAAAGTGCCAGTGTTTGTTTCTTGTACAGATGCAGACCCTCATTATCGTGAGTTGACAGCCTTCTGTGGCAATGTCCTTTGCAGAATGCAATTATAATGGGAATTTGTTGCAACGACTTTCATGCTGCTACTTTTACATCAGAATTTATTTATGTCAGTTTTAAATCTTGTTCAAAAACAAGTGAAAGAAGTTAATATATCAGAGTTTCAAAATAATTGAATAGGCCAGGATCATATTTTACATATACAACTTTGTATTCAGCATAGATCTCTCTCTTTGGTTTCTTATTTTGTTCCCCCCTTCCCCCCGACACTTTCTGTCTCCTTAAAAATCCTTCTTTTCTCCCTTCCTCCTCTCTATCCAATCTTTCATTCGTTCAACCTTTCTCTCTCATGTTTTATCCATTTTCCTTCTTTCCTTTACCCTTTCTTCTCTGACATTTATACATTGCTCCAGACTAGGGACTCAGAGAAGAAGAGGACAAATAAAAATAAATTAAAAAAAAAAAAAGAAACAGTTTTGTTTGGTTTATTAGCTGACAAAAGTTGCTTAACTGCAACTATCACTATTTGCTTTGCATTCATTTCTCATTAAAAGCTAATTAATTTTACTTTATTTTTCTGTACTGATTTCAGCTAATTTTACTTACTGTATTTAAAGAGAATTCATTTCACAAAAATTGACTATGTTTTTCTGTATTCCTGACTCTGTTTTTCTGTATTCTTGACTCTGTTTCTCTGTATTCATGACTCTGTTTCTCTTGTATTCCTGACTCTGTTTTTCTGTATTCTTGACTCTGTTTTTCTGTATTCATGACTCTGTTTCTCTGTATTCATGACTCTGTTTCTCTGTATTCCTGACTTTGTTTCTCTGTATTCTTGACTCTGTTTCTCTGTAATCCTGACTGTTTCTCTGTATTCATTTCAGTTGATCACTAGTCAGGTTAGCAGGCAAGGGCACATTTCAGTTCTGCAGCAGTTCTTTGAGACAGTTGTTCGCTATGATCGGTTTTTTGTGTGTGAACCACAGCATATCCCAGAAGTTTTGGTAAGTGCCCCCACGTTGTGCTCAGTCGTTGAAGCCTTGTAACCTTTGAACTTCATGTACGCTCACAGTACTGGAAATTCTAATGGAAACTCAATAGGCCACACCCCAAATCAAGGGAAAAGGTTCTTCACTGTTTCTGTTTATGGCTGGAATGCTCTTTTGCTGTTCTGTAGAAAAACTAGTTTACTCACTTATCATGAGATAATATAAGGCTATGTTTGAAGACACGGTCTAAAGCTGTATGGATTGACATCTTCATCAAGGCAGGCCCCCCCCCCCCCCCCCCCCCACAAATGACTTGTCTCCCAGGTAAAGTAAAGGAACCTTGTCCAAGCCTTCAGGTGTACTGGGCATATGGTGCTAGACCTATAATTTATACACTAATCATCACTTAGTACACGATATGTTCAGTATTAAACTAGCTGCTTTTATTTCCCAGAACTTTACCTGGTTATTGGGGCTTAGGGTGGGGTCGACATCTTTCTCAAGGTTTAGAAATGCTGTTTTATTCTATGGTTTTGCTCAGTCACTATAGTCCGCCATCTTCCGACTCCACAAGACTGTCTAGTAGGTCCCACAGGAGATGAGGGTAGATTCTGTTGAGGCTCAGAACATGGTACTTCACCTGCCCGGCGGAACTCCACAGGGCGAGCACCAGCAATAAATTCATCTGACAATGTAATCATATATATAGTTCGTCGGCGTACGATGTATTACCGTCCGGTGTTAACATGGTTAAATGGTCTGCGACTAACGATCCGACTAGCCCGTTGTGCAAAGCGAAGCAGACTCTTGAGCACGTCCTGTCCGCGTGCAGGAAAGCCCTAGGTCAAGGCCGATACACCTGGCGACACAACAAGGTGCTAAAAGAGTTAGCAGCCGTTGTTGACCAGGCTAGAATGAGGGCCAACGCAAGGGCCAGTTCTACCATCGTCCCCATTCGTTTCCCCAAGGCTGGGCAGATTCAAATAGGTAAGGTCAACCGAAACGCATTCGCTCCATCTATGCTAGACTCTGCGAGGGACTGGTTACTGGCGGTTGATCTGCCAAGCCATGAAAGGTACCCCGAGTTAATCCGGAAGACCGGCCTGTGACCTGACATAGTTCTCCACTCTGCGGAGAAACGGCAGCTCATCCTGATTGAGCTCACTGTCCCATATGAGTCGCGTTTGGACGAAAATCACACGTACAAGCTCGAGAAATACGGTGATTTAGCAGCCGGTCTGAGGAGAGACGAGGCGTACACGGTACGTGTCTTTGCCGTCGAAGTGGGAGCGAGAGGTCTCGTCTCCACTTCACTGTACAATGTGATTAAAGATCTAGGATTGCGCGGTAATGAACGGAAACGAACACTTAAAAAACTGGGCGAGGTAGCCGAAAGGGCCTCGAGCTGGCTTTGGACGCAACGAAACAACGTAGGGGACGGGCCTCGGTGAACTGGTCCGGGTTTCTAGTGGAAAAGGGTTTCTCACCCTTTGAAAGTCCATCGTGTCCGAATTGTCTGCCAGTGATCCTCTGCCACCTGCTAACAAAAGTCCAACATGTGTCCGGTAAACCAATCGTAAGCTTGTCGCTCGGTCGTCCAGGTATGCTGACTGTTCTAATTAGGCTACCGTGGCGGCTTCTTATCTCACAGTACCTTCTTCAAAACCACCAAGTCGTCTTGTCCCTATCTGAAAGAAAAACACCATCCGGTAATTTCGTGCAGCAGGGTACCAGCCCTGAGCTTCATGAACTCAGGTGGGTCCACCTCTGAAAACGTCTAGGAGATCGTAGGTCGAAACATTTCTCGACGAGGATAACTTCTACTGATGACTGGTAGATCCCTGCTGTACTTGCTCCCTGTGAGTTTATTCCTATAGTGGGAGTTGCATAGTACTGTATTTTTTTAAAATCCGCCTTCTGGCCTAGTATTTCGGACTTCAGGATCTCTTGAGAGGGAGAGTGGGCTCATCCTTTCAGCTTTACCTCATTTGATTTTATATCGTTTTCATCGGGGGGAGGGTTGAGATTCCAACCTTCCACTGGATTACTGGGAAAAACAGGGTCCACCAAGTGAACATAAGGTAGGCTTGAGCAAGAGAGGCCAACAGATATTGTGCATTGTATTATATTGTGCATCATTGCTTCATTAAGGATCGGCTCAACTGTCACATGCAAAAAATAAAGACTACAATCCCTACAGTGTCTGTCAGATGGGACCACAAATACTAGAGCACATTCTGCAGACCTGCCACTACACCAACAACTTGGAAAAGAAACATCAGCTCAAGAGTAAAGTGTGCAGAGCAAGCTCAGAAGTGCCGTGAAGGACCTGCAGCTGACATTCGAGTTCATAGAGGCAGCCCACTTGACGGTCTGACTTGAGCATATAAAACAAAACGCATGGAAAAAAGAAGATTAAGAAAGCATCGTGCCTCTAAAGGCTGCAGGGTACATGTCCGCCACTGGCGCACACAGCTTGGTTTCTACAGGATGCCAACTGGCAATACCTTGGATCTCCCTACTGCATGCAGAGAGCATACCTGCAGCACAAGTTGCCTGCCCACAAGGGCACAGTTCTGAGTCACGGTACTGCAGTAAGCTATTTGAATATATTTTCTGTAATACTTGATTTTTTTCTTCTTAGGAGGCTTTCCTTGATGAGAGAGGCTTGAGAAATACTTCACCCAAAGTCAGAAGTAGAGTTGCTTATCTTTTTCTCAGATTTGTTAAAAGTACCAAGTAAGACATTTATTTTGCAAGTTATTTTTAAATTAGTTCTTATTGCATACCATGTTTTTTGCTGACTTTATCACATGTAATTGTGCAAACTATAGACCTTGTGAAACCTCTTCTTTGCATTCACCGGCTGCTGAAAGTTCAAATTCTGAACATTGGTCTTGGTCTAGAACCTGTGTGTTGCATGCACATCTGCTTCACACATCTGGCTTATTTGTGGCGTCTGTCTAATCTCTTATCTGTTTTTCTTAGCTTTGTCCATCTGTAAACAGTGGACAGTTCTGGTTGTTTCTCCACTTCTTGACTTTAAAGCTTGTTCCAGAACTTGAGGTTTGCACATTTATTCTACAGTACTGGCTTATTTGAATGCAGACTGTTGGTTCTTCGCCTCTCGGACAGATGCACTCTGATTTTGAAGTTTATCTGCCCTATGATTTAACTGTGCGCCAGTTAAGACCTCAGATTTAAATAAGTAAAGATGATTGTCACAATGTTGACTACATCACATGTCAAATGCTGATTGCTCCCTAAACATATATAGTAGCCCCATGTGCCTCAATATGCCTTAAGATACAGAGAAGGGTCCTTTACAATGTGCAGTACCTAGTATCTTGTCAGGCAACAAAAGCATTATGAAACCTGGTTAAATGTAAGTTGAATTGTTTTCACATTTATTGGAAAGGAAGGTGGCGGTAGAACACTTGTCATGCCAGTGATGCATCGGCCATATGATGATAAGACTTATATTTGAAAAGACTAATTGTCACTTGATGGGCTGTGTGTTCAACATCATGCCACAAACCTTCACTATCTGGGACATTTATTATCACCCCTGTGTGGGTTCCAGGGTCCCATTGTGGGGACAACAAGAATAATAGATCCATTGCCTTCTCAAAAAGCACGTCGTAAGAGTCGACTAACAGGGGTCTTTCTTCGAAGTCGGTGCATCTGCCTAAGAGGCAAGGAATCCACAATCTGCATACACATGTCAGGTCTAAAGCAGCTGTGCATGCAACACTCAGGTTCTGGAACAAGACTAAAGTCCATAGGGGGATGAACAACCAGAACTTTCTGCTGAAGTTTACAGCCTGTGAATGTGAAGAAGAAAAAGATTTTCCTGTTTTAGGATGGGTTAACCTGCGTAGCAAAGCTTATTATAAAAAAAAAAAATCAATCCTGTTGCAGACTCAAGCCTAAGACATTTTGGTCGACAGGCAAGAAACAAGGTAGAAACTTATTATACTGCAGCCTGGTATGTGTGAAGAGAGTCGCTGTGGCGTAGTAGCTAGACACTTGCCTGCGGATCTGAAGTTCGTGGGTTCGCTCCTTGGTGGAGCCGGACTTTTTTCAAAATTGACCTTAGCTTTCAGGTCGACCCAGCCTGAGTGGGTACCAGTGGCAGTCCTGGGAAGTAAAGGTGGCCGGCGTGATGCTGACCACATCACCCATCTTGTGCCTTTGGTCTATAAAAATATAGGTCTAGCCCTATATACCCAATACGCCCTAAAGGCGTGGAAAAGGGTCCTTAACTTGTTATGTGTGAAGGCATAGCACATTACACTGTTATAACAGTTTCAGTCCCAGAAAATCATAGCTGATTCCTGATTGAAGCAATCATGTTGACAACAAAAAACATGGGTCCTAATACACAGTACTTTGTGGGTGACTTGTGTTGCTGGATTGCTATAGTTTGCCTGACTTAATTTAATATGTACTGTCACTACTATCTGTATTTACCACTTGTTTAGGGCGGTGTAGACAGGGGGTTGTGAAGATTTAGGACCACGGACTGTGAAAGTTGGGATGTTTAATTTTGCCCCTGACAGAAAAATTCCATCCCTTTTAGTGAGGGTGGAACCTGGGTCTCCCACATGGCAGCCAGACGTTGTAACCACTCGGCTAGTCGCTCCTCACTTAAGATGTACAAAAATATAAAAACATGTTGACTGTTGCACCTGAGTAATATCCCGTTCACACGGTGCGTTTGCGACTAAAAGATTTATCACAATCTGTCATCAGCCATAGGGTTGATTGCCTTTTACCTTTGAATCCATGTGGCTCTCATTTCAGAACTCACCTGACGCCCTACCTGGAGGTTGTGCTGACCAAGATGCAGGACCTGCTGACTATCAACTCCCCAGACAATGGGCTTACACATTCCTTGTCAGACAGTGACCAGCTCTTCATCTATGAGACTGCAAGCACCTTGATTGTCTCCAGCTCTATAGAACCGGAGGTGAGCCCTCATTTTTCAATGATTTGTACATTTTCCTAGGCAGTTGTGTATATGTGTGCTTTCTTTTAGAGCAAGGCTATTCAGCTGGCAGCCTATGGGCCAGATCGACCCTCAAAGGCCTAAAAAGTGGTCAAGAATTATTGCCAGTTGTATTGTAATAATGATCTTTTTACACTGGGACTTGAACCACCCACCCGTGGTAATGAGCAGGCAGATAGACTGGCTGGCTGGCTGGCTCTGCACCACTTGGTGGGGAATTGATGCATGACGTTAGATATTGTGAAGGCCCTTTGGGAGCAAGTGAACAGTGCGGAGGTGCAGATAGATCATTTCGGTCTAAGGAGAATGGCGCTGCGAGAAGTTACCAGGGGATCTAGCAAAAGCTCAACACTCAGGGGAAGGATGAGACCGATATACAATCAGACGATTACTGGTACCATCGGAACTAGAACTTTTCGCTTGCTGCTGAAGATGTTGACTGAGCACTTATGGGAGTGTCCCGAGTGCTGTGATGTCGATTCTTAATTCAACATTGAATATTTTGGCTCCTGAGTAAACTTAGTTGAATAGTTCTTGTTAACACACAAATACTTTCTTAGGCGGTCATTGTATTCTCTATCTAATAGTTAAATACAAATACTTTGTTCAGAGTAATTCATATATACTTTCTTTAGTAGTTTAGTAGTTTTTTGTGTATACTTTCTCAAACAGTAATTTGTGTATAATTACTAAGTAGTGATTTGTGTGTGTTTTTTGCAGTAAAAATTTGTGGGCATTTTCTTAATCAGTAATTTGTATATAATTTCTTTAGCATTAATTTGTGTATTAGGAATTTATGCACACTTTATTTGGAAATGTTTGTTATGAACATACACATGAAACATGTATGTAACATACAAATAGTGCATGGGTGCACAGTGTAGTAATTTCAGGCACAGACGGGAGGGAAACTTCAGATTGTTGTGCTGTGTGTAAAAAGGATTCAATCTACCTCACATCACATGTCAGCATGCTCTGTCCGGCTCACCGAAACCGCATGCAAGACTCCTACTCTATATCGTCGTTGTTCAGCATGGATAACTCTAAACCAAACTGGCAGGGAATCTCAAAAGTTGGTGGCACTTAGAGATGCAGTGATCAGAAATATTGAAGTGCAAACTGAGTGACATTCCATTGAAAGTGTCCTCTGCCAACTGGACAAGCAGGTTCTCAACTCTTTCATCATGGGAATGCTGATAAAATAAAATTTCTTGGAAAAAGTTTTCAAAACCCAACCATATAACACAGGTCACAAATACATTACGTTTTTTCTTCCTCTTCTTCTTTAGCATTACGGGCCCTTGAGGTTTGTTACAGATTTCACCTGCCTCCACTCATCTCTTTGGTTGACCTTCTCTTTCTAGTTGGTAAATCCAAAAGTTTGCAGATCTCTCTGGACACTATCTCTCCATCGTCTTCTTGGTCAGCCTCGTGGTTTAGGACCATTAATCTCCCTTGTGTATACAGTTTTTACCTCTCTCTCATCGGACATTCTCTCAATATGTCCCAGCCATTTCACCTATTAGCTATCATGATGCCAGTGATCAATGGTGATTTGAACAGATTATGAATTTCGTTGTTGCTTCTCACTCCCCATTCACCACTTAACCACTCTTTACATCTTTGATAGGTTCGAAGATTTGTTATTTCATTTTTTAAATATTTTTTTTTATCTACAATTTTAATTTTTCAAATATGTATTGTGTGACTCATGCTGTGACCCTCTGACCTTTATCACTGAGGCTTTTGGTAAAACTTGACATCGACTTAGCTTTCAAAGAACCTTAAAATCTGAATGCTGTTTTTAGTTACTGTATTTATAACCTGGCCTATTAAACACCGCACAAGTGCACACTGGACCAATGACATTTTACACTTTTTCGAAAAACAGGTCATGTGTCAGACAGATGGCCTTATTGGCCATTTCCATGGATGTTTCACTGATACAAACCAAAAAGTGACGAGATTTAGCGCCTTCTTGGGGTGATAAGGGTTTCGTTTATAGTGTGTGGTTTGCTACCCAAATGTACATTTGTAAATTTATGTTCCATTCTATAAATGATAAATAGAAATAAATGCCCAGCATGATTTTGTCTTTTTCCTGACACAGTATCGGGGCTAGCAGGCAATAGGTGATGTCCAGTCTTAGAATAACTTCTTTCATTCTCATCCTTAAACTAGTTTTGTGTCTTGTTGCAGAAAAAGCAGAGTCTGATGAAGCAGCTGTTGCTTGCCAATAGCCCGCAAGATTCAACATCAGTGTTGACAAAATTTACAAGAAGAGCAGGATGAGAAAGACCGCGTGGCATATGCTGACTGTATTCCACAACGCCATTTCTCTTGCCAGGTGGGATGCTAAGTATTGAAGATTGGTTCCCATCTTCCTTCTTCTTACATTCACCAGCTGTAAAATCTGGCGAAACTTCTGGTTGTTTCAATCCCTTTTTGAATTTTTAGTCTTGTTTGAGAGTTTTTACGTGCACATGTTTCACAGATCTGCTTATTTGTTATGCAGGCTGTTGGTATCCTCACTTCACAAAAGCAGATGCGCTCTGACTTCAGAATAACCTCTTTAACTGTCCCTTTGTTGCCTCTTATGCCATGCATTATTGGTGCACGAACATTACTTTTTTTTTTTTTTCACTTCTCTTATATAGGCCTAGTACTAACGTATTTGCAAGATGTAGTTAATTCTCCCATGGAGCATAGACCCTTAGTCGTTTCGTCAAATTTTTTCCTGTGGACATGCTTCAGCCTACCCTGTGTCCTCCCAACCGTTATTCTCCTCACTTTCTTGTTCTCCGTCTGTATGTATATTTTAAAATTTGTCTTTTGTTTAAAAAAACCTTGCAGGTTAGGGTGCAAAGGCATTTTTATTATATTGTTATCAAGTTTTTCAAGCTTCTCTACGCCATTTATTCACTATTATTTATTCTATTGTTTCCGCAAGCTCTACATTAGTGATTCTTTTCTTTTCATTTCATTTATTCCCCGCAGGGCACCAATCAATGAGTATGTTCCTAATTATTAAAAAATAAACTGCTTTAAAACAGTTACTTTGTAACTCACTAGCCCATTTGTAATACTTTTCAGGCGCCGTGCCAAGTAAAAGGTTTCTCGGGACCAACAACCATTAAGGCATTGTTGGCTTGTTGTGTTGGCTTTCCACTGAGTTCTGCCTGTCCAATCTTCCTGGCTGCCCTAGAGGTTACCAGCAAAGGCTTCATTGCAACCGGGAGGGAGTCAGACAGTATTTACATAGAATGGTATATGTTTTGAGCATTTGTTTTTCATTCTTAATAATTCTGTGATAATTCATCGGGCTTGTGCTGTTTTTATTATTTTTAATCTTTTCTTTCTTCTGCCTTTCAATCCCCCAATGTAGACAAAGGCCCTCAAACCAACTCTCGACCATGTCTTTCGATCCTTTAGCCATTGCAAAGAGCTCTTCCCCATGTCCCTCCCAATCTTTCTAACTTCACTCTCCAGCTCTCCCTTCTTTGCCATGTTGCTTTTTAGGCCTTCCTTTATTCCTATGGCCCCTGTGGGTTCCAATGCTAAGACATTCTAGTTATGCTGTTCTCCTGTTTTCCTCAGTTTGTGTCCTATACAACGCCAACATCTTTTTCCTCACCTCTTGGTCCTACTGGAAGCCTGTTTTAGTTTATCCCTCCCCAAAGCTCTACATTAGTTATTCTATATCATATCATTTCATTTTAATGCTGTTTAAAAAAAAATTATTTTCCTCATAGTATATTCAGTGTGGTGGTTTTGTAAGTAGACCTATGTAATTGAGTTCAGTCTTATGGGATCAAGTTGATTAGCAAATTTTGGTAGCAAACACTATGGAAAACCTTGGGAAAGGCTGCGTCAGTTACAATCATGTGTCCATGTGTGTGTGTCATGTTCCTCTAACCAAAAAGAGAGCTGGCATTGGCGGCTGCCACCTCCATTTTTGGAAGCGGATTTTTGTGGGTATCCCCATGTTAGGCTCTCCTCCATCACATATCGACATTAACTTTTGCTAATGAGGGTTTTTACAAATCTTAGTAATTGAATAAGATTAAGTTATTCCTGTTTTGGGTTCCATGGCACCGTGTGGGGAAAAACATCAATAGACCCACTGCCTTTCCCAGCAAAGCAATGTTGTAAAGGTAGACCAATCTGTGGTTTCCTTTCAGAGTCGGAGTGAATCATCTGCCTGAGAGGCAGGTAAAAAGCAGCCTGCATACAGATTGTTCAGATCTGTAAAACAGTGTTGCATGTAACACTCAGGTTCTGGGATCAACACTGCAGTCCAGATATGGATGAACAACCAGAACTATTCCTACTAGAGTTTTACATCATTTAAAAAACACACACCACACACACACAACACATCGCCCTCAAACACTACAACGCACAACCTACTTGCACATTGCAAGTAATAACATTACCATATCTTAAAAAAAATTATATAACATAAATATTCTATTTTTCTTAAAACATAAATTTTTGTCGCTGTGATTGCAAATCAGTAACTATTTTGAATCAAGGTCTTATGAACCCCTGTAACTGATCATTTAAAGTTGATCTCAGATGATAACAGCCTGATTACTTGATTATTGTTACTTGATTAAAGTGATTAAATTCTGTTAATTCAGTAAAATATAACTTGTTCTACTTCCTCTGTGTTCCTCCTAAAAAGGGCAGTTTTCATGACAGCCTTCTTTCTCTGCACTGCCCCAGCTGTGGTTTACAGCTAGGCTTCTGATCTCTGTGTCTTCGTCTTCAGCACATCTGATTTCAGCATAGTCTATATGGGTCACCTTTTAGGATGCGCTTGGTAAAGGACCATTCAGTTTCAGTATTATTAGGATGCTCTGTTTAACTAGGATCAGGGCCCTGCCCTTATGGTCTTGTCCCCCTTTTGCCTAGCTTTGGGTGACAAAAATGGGGAGGGTTGGGGTGGCTTGTTGCGG